AGCTGTCAATGATATCAAAAAGCCTGGACTTTAATTTATCGTGGGGAATGGTTGTGTATAAAGTTGAAAAGTCGTAAGTTTTTAAGCTGTTGATTTTGGTAAAATCTTGTGATTTCAAATTTTCCAAATGCTTATTACAATGATGCCAGCAGTTTGACTGCTTGATGTCCAGGAGTAAAGAAGAAGATTTTTAAAGATTGCATTATTTTTGGTGGTTTTAGCCCCACCTCCCAGGCCCAAAGGGGGCAGGGACCAATGAAATTCACAATTTTTGTTTCCCTTTACCCATAGATGCTATATGCCAAATTTGGTTGAAATTGGTTAAGCGGTTTCAGAGAAGAAGCTAAAAATGTTCAAATGTTAACACACGACGCACGCCGACGGACGAGGACGGATAGCAATAGGTCACCTGCGTGACTCAGGTGACCTAACAATCATCAGTATATCATTACAAAGCCGTTTGATTATCTTTATAAATATGCACTGATTGGAATTAAGGCTAATTTTCGGAATATGCACAAAGCATATGCAGTCAAACAGTTAAAATATAAAGAAGTTTGAAAAAGAATCAATATATTAAAGCTCAAGCATTTCACAAAAATAATATTTTTAATTAAGGACAGAATTCAATAGCTACCCAATTTATACTGTATAAACTGGGCTGGGGCAGTTTACGCTTTATAAACCGCGAAGCTGTTCATAAATAAGCGTAAACTGTTCCAACCCACTTTATACCGTATAAATTTTGTAGCTATTAAATTCACTCCTTATAATTATCCCCTCGCGCAACTAGTTGCGGAAGGGAGATAGCATCGCTACTGTGCGTTTGTGTGTGTGTTAGTTACAGCTTGTGGAAAAGATTTAAAGAGAACCCTTGCACTATCATTTCTCAGCCTTCACATACTTATGTGGCATTGTAAAAGGACGAACCCTAGTCATTTTCAAGTTAATAGGTGAAATAGTTCTTAAATTATGGCGTTTTTACTACCTTCATTTTTATGTACGAGTTGACAATACTCACTTCCGGTTAATTTAACAGGTTAAAATTCGGGTCGTTTCGATAGAGCCGCTTCGGGAAGTTCGACTTTGTATTTGCGTATTGTCATATTATTGTGCGTATCTTTATAATGTTTGTATGAATTAAAAGTGTCATCTCTGTCACTGAATAACTGAAATTATTTGATGAACGTCGTGGTTTCAATAGCAAATTATCACACGTGTGTGTTTACAATAAAGGCCTGTGGAATTTAATCTTGAGGCGCGCGTAATTCTTGAAAGGTATAAATATAAAGTGTCACAAGTTTCATTGACATCTCAATACCGGTATATTGTCATTTTCTCAGCCTTCACATACTTATGTGGCATTGTAAAAGGACGAACCCTTTTCATTTTCAAGTTAATCCCATGAAATAATTCTTAAAATATCGCGTTTTTACTACCTTCAAACCCTGCAACTTTATGTACGAGTGGACTATACTCACTTCCGGTAAATTTAACAGGTTAAAATTCGGGTCGTTTCGATAGAGCCGCTTCGGTAAGTTCGACTTTGTATTTGCGTATTGTCATATTATTGTGCGTATCTCAAGAAAGTTTGTATGAATTAAAAGTGTCATCTCTGTCACTGAGTAACTGAAATAATTTGATGAACGTCGCGGTTTCAACAGCAAATGACCACACGTGTGTGTTTACAACAAGGGCCCGTGGAATTTAATCTTAAGGCGCGCGTAATTCTTGAAAGCTATAAAGTTTCTCAAGTTTCATTGACATCTCAATACCGGTATATTGTCATTTTTCACTACAAAAAATATTACTTCCGTGCGTATTTTCAGATTTGGTGCATATTGCATGCTACTGTGGTTTACTCAGGTAGGTAAATTAATGAAATTTAGAGCATACGTGATGTGTTTCTGCTAGGAATAAGGGAAACTGCCCAATCACGTATGCTTGTTATGACCCCCCCCCCCCCCCCCGATGATATCTACCTTGACTTTTGTTAAAATTAATTAGTGTTGCAATACATTTTAATTTCTTTACCTTATTTTAAACTTTATATAGTAATACTGGGTACCCTTGATTACTAGGCCGAGATGATTGTATCTTGTTTAACGTCCCTCTTTTCTCTTGTATGGAGACATTGCCATTACCGGTGAAGTTCCTGCCGCGAGGGGATGCTCCGCTTAGCGGTGCTCATGTTTAATTTTCATTCAGTAAGTGTAAGAAAAAAAAGATTATTTTCCCTTAAAAAATGACTTCAAATTGTACAAAATTTAAATGTAACGTCAGGCGGATCGATACGTTTTTGACGCAAGTCATCGTAACGTAGGCAAACCAATTTATTAGGTCACCTGAGTCACTCAGGTGACCTATTGCTATCTGTTTTTGTCCGTCGTGCGTTAACATTTAAACATTTTCAGCTTCCTCTCTGAAACCGCTCAACCAATTTCAACCAATTTTGGCATATAGCATCTACGGGTGAAGGGGGACAAAAATTGTGAATTTCATGGTCCCTGCCCCCCTGGGGCCTGAGAGGTGGGGCTAAAACCACCAAAGTTGATGTAATCTTTAAAAATCTTCTTCTTTACTCCTGGACATCAAGCAGTCAAACTGTTGGCATGATTGTAATAAGCATTGAGCCCTCTACCAAAATTGTGAAATTCATGGCCCCAGGGTCAGGGGTTCTGGTGCTAGGGCGGGGCTATATAGCTCATATAGTGAAAGTGCACTATTTCTTTGAAAATCTTCTTGTCTGCTCCTGGGTATTAGATAAACTAAGTACATAGTTATGTTGAGAAAGACTGCCTCTTCCAAAATTGTGGATTTCATAGCCCCTGGGTCAGGGGTTCTGGTGTTAGGGCGGGGTCCTATTGATTATATAGTGAAAATGCAGTAATTCTTTGAAAATCTTCTCTGTTCCTGGGTATTAAATAGACTAACTAAGTACATAGTTATGATGAGCAAGAGTGCCTCTTAAAAAATTGTGAATTTCATGGCCCCTGGGTCAGGGGTTCTGGTGTTAGGGTGGAGCTCTATTGATTATTTAGTGAAAATGCATTAAATCTTTTAAAATCTTCTCCTTTGCTCCTGGGTATGAAATAAACTAACTAAGTACATAGTTATAATGGGCATGGCTGCCTCTTCCAAAATTGTGAATTTCATGGCCCCTAGGTCAGGGGGTCTGGTGTTATGGTGGGGCTCTATTAATTATATAGTGAAAATGCATTATATCTTTGATAATCTTCTTCTCTGCTCATGGGTATTTAATAAACTAACTAAGTACATAGTTATGATGAGCATGGCTGCCTCTTCCAAAGTTGTGAATTTCATGCCCCCCTGGGTCAGAGGTTCTGGCGTAAGGGCGGAGCTCTATCGTTTATATAGTGAAAATGCATTAAATCTGAGAAAATCTTCTCTGCTCCTGGGTATGAAATAAACTAACTAAGTATATTATTATTATGAGCATGGCTGCCTCTTTCAAAATCGTGAATTTCATGACCCCTTGGTCAGGGGTTCTGGTGAAGGGGGGGGGGGAATGTATTGATTATATAGTGAAAATTCATAATTTCTTTCAAAATATTTTTTTCTACTGGCTATAAAGCAAATAAACAAGTGTATAGTTATGATAAGCAAGGATGCTTTTGCAGAATTTTGAAAACTTGTGGTCCCAGAGGTTCTGTTGTTTCTCTGAGGTGGGGTGGGGGTTGGTGGGCTCTATTTGATTATATAGTGAAAATGTATGAATTCTTTGAAAATTTTCAACTAATTGCATAGTTATGATGATGAGGGTACCTCTTCCAAATTTGTAAATTTTCATGACCCAAGGTCATGGGTTCTGGTGTTAGGGTTAGGGTAGGGCTGTGTTAAATAGTGAAAATGCATTATTTCTTCGAAAATCTCCTCTGCTCCTGGGCGTATTGGAAGCAAACAGAGTAAAAGTTTTAGGAAGCAAGGGTATTTTTACCAGAATTTTGAACATCTGGACCATTTAGTCAAGTGTTCTGGTCCTGGCAATTTGTATTCTATTGAGTGAAGTTATTCCCCTTTGCCATTCACTTTTGATAATTAATCACTGTAGATAATGTATTTGAAAGGTTAATAGAATAAGAGAATTATGCAAGAACATTTATTGTATAATACAAAAAGTACTTTCATCGTTTTAATTATCAGGTAGACTTGGAAATAATAGATGAATAAAAATGAAACAAAAATAACTTATCTTCTTAAATGTTCTTAAAGGCCAAGTGAGGCCAATGTAAGAGGTAATAATATACATGTAGACATTTTGTTAAAAGTCTGCATGGTAATAGTGATAAATGGGGGACACATAGAAAGATACAAGATCAATTATTTGTTGATCTTAATTGTACTATTTTTCTTGCTATTGGGCAACAAAGCTTCATTTATCAGTTTGTGGATCCCCTAAATTGTTGTACTCAGGTGACCGTTAAGGCCCTTGGGCCTCTTGTATAATATAAAGTAATTTTTTATCCAATCAAATACAGCGTTATAACCAGAATTAAATTATTTACTATTATATTACTGACATATTAGCATACATCTCTGCAAATGTGTTTATAAAATAAAAAAAAGAAGAAATTCTGTATTTAATTAAACTTTTTGTATACAGGTAAGAACTAATAAAAAACATGTAAACATACAAGAAATCTGTCTTGACAAAAAGTGAAAAGAAACAATAAACTCACATAACATGCAAATGTAAGGGAAGAATATACTACTTTATTAGTAGTCTTTCTTTCCTGTATGTTTTTTTTTTTAGAAGTTATAAGGTTCTCGTTTACTTCTTAAGTAATAATGGATTCTGAATGAACCTAGAATACGAAGCCATTTACAGCTGACACGATATTTCTATTAGAACAATGATTACAACGAATCTTCACTTTTATAGGTAAAGCTTCAAATGTATTTAAACTAAAAACATATCGGCTGATATGTTCAATGTTGAAAGACAATACATTCGAATTATTCTGAGGATTTACGTCAGTTCAGCACTGATAGTTATTTTCACAGTTCGTATAATGCTGACCAGAGTGCCGTCGACCTCTAGGTATGTAAAACTCATTGAATTTTCCCCCCTCGTCAAAGTAAGTCCTCCACTTTTGAAGCTTTAAGTCCTTTGTTGAGTCATCATCATTTAAGTGACGTCCAGCAGACCTATTTTTTTATTGATAAAATACCTTATGAGCAAGATAAATATTCACATTTCTGCCATGTCTTTGTTTTGTGAAGATATTAATATTTGTCTAAAGGATATTCACAATACATTCTAAGGAAACTGAGCAATACGATTTTTAAACTTTCAATTCTTTAGAAATTTTCTAGAAAATCGGAAAAAGTTTTGTCATTTCACTGGTACTAAAAGAGGTTTTGTAGTTTTCGTAGATTTTCTGTTTGAAGTTTAATTAGATTTATATACTTACGATCGATATCGCCAGACAAGAATGGCAACTATTAAAGTCACAACAAAAACAAAGGAAACAGCAGAGACACTTATGATGAAAGCTGGACTGGATATTGGAGATTTGGTTGTTGGTGAAAACGTGGTTGAAACACAATCTTAAAAAATTATTTTAAGTTTTCTGTAACTGTTTATGCCGCTGAAATTTTAACCTAATCCTTGACCAACTTTTTGTTTAATTTTTATTTAGAAAACACATTAAAGAATTTACCCGGAAAAATACAATCAATTCAAATAAAAAAAATGAAGTAAAGGGTACTTTTACAATAATAAAAAGGAAACATCAATGAAAAAAGACACATAAAGCAACACATTCTTTTCTCACATCACATTCACCAAATAATATTAGAACAATAACTTTATAAATTTATGAAATGATTAAATACATTACCAAAAGGCCGAAGGACGAAAGTCTTTACCCAAGTCACATTTTTGTCATTAAAAACTTGTTCAAACAAAACGTCGTTTTCACAAAGCAATACGTAGTCGTTGAGTTAAATATATTTCAATTATATGCAGCTTTGGCCCAGTAGAACGAGAAAAAGAGAAAAATGAATAATTATCAGATTATGTGACAAATAAAAGCATTTACCTTTATGCAATGACCAGTCAAACTTTTGACTTGAAGGACTGCAAACCTCACAGCTGTTGCCCGGATTTAAAGTTTCTCTTCTTACGCATTTGTTATCAATGAAACAGTACCCTGCCTAGAAGGAAGGTTTTGAAATAATCTGCTTATTTTTGAGATGCACATTTGCAGAAATTCTATGTCATACTTTGTATTTCGTTTTTGTTGACTTTTTTTTAAAACTGAAGCCTTGAACAATTGTACCAAATGTAAATGTTTTTAGATTACCTTAAGTGAAAACTGCTCAACACCCTTATCATAAGAGATCTCCTGGCATTCCGACTGATATTTATACACTGAATATGTTTGAGTGAACTGTTTTCCATCGTAAGATATGTTAAATGTGAACTTGGTTATCCATTTGGTCCTTCTGTCATCAGGCAAAGGACACGCCCCCTGAAATAGGGTTCTGTCATCCAGAGGTTGTTCAATGTCTTTGGTATCCACGACAGTGTCGTCATAGTGAATCTTTAATAGAAATGGAGAGAATAAAAGCTACACAAGACAAAGGAAGAAATTCAAAGGTAAAAGATCGTCTTTTAGCACAGCTAAAAATCAGCTTCCTTCTTTTTTTCTCTTAGGAAATGAAATTACGACTAGAGTAATTTTCAGATATAAAAATTAAAAAATTGTGTTTCTATGTACTAGTTGTCTGGTTATGAAACATGTTTTGTTAATGTTCTCTAGGAAGTATCTGCCCTCTAGAAGAACTTCGGAACAAGTGCGCAGAGACATGTCACAGGATCTATTCGGAGATATGCTTAGAATCGTTGGTGGTGCTTGGACATTGAAGGAGCAGTCACTTCCTCCGAAACCAAAGTCACAAGTGCAGTTACCTGTTAAGTATGATTTATGTTTTGAATATTTTGTCATTTTTTCTCAAAAGCATTAAATGTTGAACTATGGTCTTCAGAGAGCTCAAACCTATAGTGTGTATGTTAACAATGTTTTTTTTTTTTACAAAATCAAACCAAAAACTTGTAATGCTAACAAGAAACATAATTATGTAATAAATAAAATTAAGCATTCGTATTGCACATGTGAAAATAGTATGCGTCGTTCAAAATATGATTTTGTTCACCAATTTAAATGGCAGCTAATCAAATTTTCTAAATGTTTTAATTATTTTCATAATTTATGGTTTAAAAATATAATTGATGGTGTCAATACTTTGCCAAATCCAAATGAAAGTTTAAAATAAATAAACGTCACATAAATTTTATGATTGTAAGTTCATACTATGAATCTTTTTCAAATATATTTGGCATATAATATTTAAAAAATGAAATTTTATAACATATATGAACTAACCCTCCTTGCAAATGCCACGACCACTACAGTTATTTGAGCATAGCGACTGAAGTTGATACGTGACATCCGGTTGCTCTGTTTTCAGTGTGGTATTCAAATCTAGGAAGTTGACACACTGCTTAAGAGCAGCTTCGATATGGATAGCTGTTATGTTTTCATCCCCAGTCAACTAAAAAATAAATGTCAAATTCAGATTGGTCTTTTAATACTTCACACGTACATCAGTACACTAATGCACATCTTTGTGTAAAAATGTCATTAAAGAATAGTTACTCTGACATCCATTATGCAGTTCAATAAAGAGGCATTGGTCATGTCACTGACATATTGTTTACATGTCTGGAATGGCTCTGAACTGTTAAAGGCAGATTTACAGACATTCTCTGCTTCAGCCTCTGTTGTGACATAAATTGACTGAGACCGTTTATGTCGCTCCTGTGAAGTGAAAATATTATTGCTTAATAAGTTCAACCTTAAAAAAAAACAGGTCATATTTTCATGAACAAGACTTAAATTTAGCCTTATTAGTACGTACGTGTAAAGAAGGCGGTAGATAACTATTCAAATAAACATCCCTCTTTTTACGTAGTGACTGTATCTGGTTTGCTGTTTGAGTGCAATAGTACCGCTTCCCTGTTGCTTTTGAACATTGTGAAAATGTCTGATAAGTACACTGATTTCCACTTGGAGAACAAGTACAGATCTTCTCGAGATTGGGGGATATTGGTGGTCGATCTGACGGTGCGCTATTTAAGAGATTTTCATCGTTCTGGACCCTGTAATGAATGCACTGTGTAATAGCTAATTATTTATTATATGGTACATCTTACATATTTAAATTATTCTGCTTTTAACAAAATTCTAGTCTAAAAAATTCTAAATTTCTAATTATTTTACGTCAGTCAGCATTATTTGATTTAACTTAACCTTGTTGCCAGTAAAATATGTATTACAAAATACGAGATATGTTTGAAAGAAATATTACATCCAAGATCTAGAAAAATCATCTGGATATTCGAGCGCCGAACTATCGCTGCTTCCATTTGGATGGGTAAACTCGTTTCCTCTATCGCCATCTAAGGTTCCACAGAGACCTGCAGTGTTGTTTACGTCAGCAAGTGATGGGTAGATATCTATATCTATCTGCCAGGATCCTTCAACAGGCCACTCAACCAAAGACACAACCACGGTGGTGCCGGTCGGAAGGAAAACCTGCAAGTTTATCATGCTTTCTTTTAAAGAATGATTACAACTACATGTATCTATAAATTAAGTGCTATTGGTTTTAGATAATTATTACGTTTACAATAATTAATATTGGAAAGTTCAAACTTTAATATAGCAATTTGATTATTGCTCATGAAAGTAAATGACAAACTGGGAAGAAATAGTAATTATCTTTTGATAGCTATTGTCTTAATAATTGATACCAGACCTTGTAGAGTTTGTCCGTGATTTTATATACTTCAATGACGTTATCTTGACATCTAAGAAAATCCATAAAATTGTTGTTTCCACAAATGTCAATCATAAACACGTCACTTCCTGACTGCACAGAAACAGCACATGTACACTGCGGGAAAGGGTAGTTCGTGTGGCATTTCTCGTGTCGAGTTTGAATCTTGTCGGAAAAAAGTATAAAGATGGCTCAAATGTTGCAAAGAAGATATTAGCAGAACTTGTTCAATATTTCAGAAATTAATCAAATATGATATCCTTCTGATATTTTAAATCCATACGAACACAAACAATGGTACATGCACAGCCTCTATGTCTTACCTCTTGATTGTATAACGAATTACGATACAAAATGAACTCTCCTTCAATGTGGCTTTCAAATGCACTGAAATTTAATGTTCAAATTTCTTAATATGATATAAATTTGTTATACAAATCACCATCTCGGATATGTTAGGAGGAGTAATGTTTTTTTCAATAAGCATCCCCTTTGCTATATTCATTTCTTTAAGGAAATATTTTTCGTTAAAAAAACAATGAATCTTGGAAGATTTTTTTTTTACTTTTAGACTATACATTTAGAAGTCAGTTTAGTCTGAGTAAATTTTTTTTAAAAAGTCTTACACTCCATCAAATGTGTATAAATGAGGATCAGTTTTTGACCCGCATGATTTTCCCTTCCATGTTTCCTTCGCTTCAAAGATTTGAATCTGTAAAAAAATAAAAGACATGACATATTCTGCCTTATTATAAATTCATTTTTATTCATATACTTGTATCTTACACTCTTATTACCGTTCACGGTAGCTCAGTCGGTATAGCGCACGCTCCGTGGTCGGCAGGTCGTGAGTTCGAATCTCGGCCGCGACTGACCTAAGTCGAAAAAAAATGGGCAGCAACTGTTCCTTCGCCATGCACTCGGCACTCTGAAGTGAAAGTTGTGGGTCCTTCGGATGCGACCTAAAAAACCGAGGCCCCGTGTCACGACAGTCGTTGGCACGATAAAGATCCCTCAGTGCTAAATGGCCCTGAGTTCCAAGTAAAGGTCAAAATTTGAAGCCCTTTACCTGTATATGGTGACTTCTCTCTATGAGTGAAAAATTCTCGAATTGGACGTAAAACAACATACAATAAATCAATCAATACACTCTTACTATAATTTATACGATGTTTTAACATTGTCTTTGTTTGAATGCTTACCGACGTATTATCTAAAGATATGTTATGAAAAAATCCATCTTCGTTTTCACTTGTCCTCAAATAAAGATTGGCTGTTGTCTCGATGCTATAACCATCTGTGTCAATGTGATACACCGTGATGTAGTGTACTTTTCTCCATTCATCTGATTCATACCTGTTCTTTTCATCATAGGAATACGCACTGATTTCTACAGAACATTGATCCACTCCTATAGATCCTTTACAACCGTTCTCTGACATGGGGATAATATTACTGTGAACCCTCAGGGGGCGAAGCGCCTGTATGGTATCATTTAAGATGACTGTTTGTGTGACGAATGGAACAGTTAAGTAAAATCCAGACTGGGCTTTGCCTTTTCTTGGAAGACTGAGTTTAGTGTCATTCATCTGTAAATAATAGAATGACTTTAAATGAACGTAAGTTTGAGGCCTAACTCTACTTACTGTTATAGACAGGTTGTACATACGCAAGTTTATGCACTGATAAGCAATCTCGAGTCATTTTGAAATGAGCCCAAGATTAGTAAATATTGATATAATATGTTTATATACACAAAGCTCTTCATCATTGTTATTAGAATGTTCGAATGATTAATTTTCTTTTTTTTAATAAATAATTTGATACAATGTGCGAATATACTGTGATCTTGATCATCGTTGACAAATTATTAAATGACCTTTAATATGCTTAATATTGACATTTTTAAAATAAATGCATAATTGATTTGCATGGAGAAGTTTGCGTAAGTGAATTAAAAAATTACCATTATCCCCGCTAAGAATGGACTACTTTCAAACATTTCGCAGGGTATCATAAGCTTATCTTTCGTGGCACCAACCTTGCATTGTATCTAAATGATGAATGAGAATAAAGAAAATATAGAAAACATACAGGTACAATGTATCATTTAATTTTTTTAAGTAACGTCGACTGCAGACTTAAAATTTGAAATGAAAGAAAAAGTTAGCAAGCTCTCATACCCCTCGCTTCCCCCCAACCTCGACAATGCAACACGTAATGAATGGCACAGTGCATTTTAAATACACAGTATAATTCAAAATGGGGCATTACTTGCAAAAAATCATCACATCCAACTTCTTGCATATAAGGACATTCAAATCTTTGTATGTTACAAATTTAATTGGGCTGAAGTTTCTAGATAAATACTGGAATCAAAATTTCTTGGTAATATACAAATCTATACATTATGTCTGAAAAACCTACAAAGTTTCAGGAAATTCAGTGCAGGAATTATGCTGACAAACTGTTATTTAATTTCCTCAGTGATTTCGATTTGTTAGTGAGTGTAAGTCCATGTTCAACACATGACAATTTACACATTCAAATAATTGATGGAAACAAAATTATGATGTAGGCATATGAATTTGTTTATATACTGTACTTATAAAATTATTTAAGGCAAAGCACCAATTTGAAGGGGTGAGAACTATCCAAGATTGTGTGTGTGTGTTAAATCATTAATATTTTGATCTCAAAATCAACAGGGGTCTTTTAAGGTCATAAAATATTTCACATGAAATTTCATTACAAAAGCTGATTCCAGTGGATTTCCTTATTACCTAGCTGGAAAGATTCTTCAATAATTGGCAAAACTTTTAAAGCAAAAATAATGGAATCGGAATTTCCTGGTTATATGCACATCTACACACTGTTTACTTAATATCTGCAAAGGTTAACCAAATTTGGTGCAGCGTTTGTAAGAGGAGTTGCACTAACAAACTGTTCATATCTCTATTAAAGATATGGCCAAAAAATCTAAGTTGAAAAGTTCAGAAATTCCCAGAAAAAATAAAGGAATCGGAATTTCCTGGTAATATGCACATCTACACATTGTGTGCTAAATATCTGCAAAGTTTGACGAAATTCTGTGCAGCGGTTTATGAGGAGTTGCGCTGACAAACTGTTCATCTCTATATTTCAGATATGGCCAAAAATCTAAGTTGAAAAGTGCCGAAATTCCCAGAAAAAATACAAGAAACGGAATTTCCTGGTAATATGCACATCTATACATTGTGTCCTAAATATCTGCAAAGTTTGACGAAATTCTGTGCAGCGGTTTTGAGGAGTTGCGCTGACAAACTGTTCATCTCTATATTAAAGATATGGCCAAAAATATAAGTTGAAAAGTGCCGAAATTCCCAGAAAAAATAAAGGAATCGCAATTTCCTTGTAATATGCACATCTACACATTGTGTGCTAAATATCTGCAAAGTTTGACGAAATTCTGTGCAGCAGTTTATGAGGAGTTGCGCTGACAAAAAAATAACAGGACTGACTGACACACTGACTGACTGACGGACGGGTCAAAATCATTATACCTCACGCAACTTGTTGCGTGGGGTATAAAACAGCTGTAAAGGATTTTATTAAGAATAGGACTCAAGAAAACAAATGTTACCTGTATTCCAGACTTCCTGTTCATTGAAATCAAATCGTATAGCGATAATGTAGCATGTTTGTCAGACGATCCTCCTAGTACTTCTGATTTAATGAGTGTGTGATTGTTAACATACCACTCCACTTTGTAGAAGACCTGGTCGTCAGGAGAGGTTGCAAATTGACATTTTAAATTGACAGAAGGATTGTGTACGGTCCGCTTTGTCGCTCCCTCTGTTTTGACTGATGTGTTCCAAGACACGTTGTAATAAGATACGGTAATGCTTTTAATATTCATTTCAACACCTAAAAATATCAAATACACTACAATAAGGATACTGTTATAAACACTTAAATATAAACATGTAAAACACATTGTTTTCTTACAAGATGATGTGGTCGTTCTGTCCTGAGTTGTCTTCAATTTACTGCTGGTTGAAGTTCCTTCAACTGTACTTGTTTGTCTGGCTGTTGTGGGTTCCGTTGTACTTGTTGTTTGTACTGTTGTTGTGGATTCAGCTGTACTTGTTGTTTGTACTGGTGTCATGGGTTCAATTGTACTTGTTGTTTGGATGGTAGTTCTAGGTTCAGCTGCGCTTGTTGTTTGTATGGTTGTTGTGGGTGCAGCTGTACTTGTTGTTTGTTCTGTTGTTTTGGCTTCAGTTGTACTTGTTTGGATAGTAGTTGTGGGTTCAGTTGTACTTGTTGTCTGTATGGTTGTTGTGGGTTGAGCTTTACTTGTTGCTTGTACTGTTGTTGTGGGTTGAGCTGTGCTTGTTGTTTGGATGGTTGTTTTGGGTTGAGCTCTACTTGTTGTTTGTATGGTAGTTGTGAGTTCAGCTGTGCTTGCTGTCTGTATGGTAGTTGTGGGTTCAGCTGTGCTTGTTGTTTGGATGGTCGTTGTGGGTTGAGCTGTACTTGTTGTCTGTATGGTTGTTGTGGGTTCAGCTGTACTAGTTGTTTTTATGGTTGTTGTTGGTTCAGTTATACTTGTTGTTTGTTCTGTTGTTGTTGATTCATCAGCTTGTTCCTTTGTTGTTAGGGGACAATCTAAATTGAGTGAAACAGAGAAGTTTTACATTTCCTTCCAAATCCTGGCAGTATTTTTACATTTTATTAAGAACACTATTGTGTTAAATGTTGTATACAATTTTTTATTCCTTTCTCTTTTTAAAGTATGCTTAAATTTGTGTAAACTAAAACCCATATAACCCATATAAATAAGTCACAACAGCCTCCACCATTTTGTAGTAGAGAATAGTACCACTTCCCTTCGAAGCAAAATTTTATGTCTTTCTTAACATACTTTTTACCACTTTCCATTTTCATATATTCAGATATTTTATGGAATGTTAAAATTACAGAACTAGTAATTTGTAACATATAGTGAAAAGCAAAATATAAAGTGATGCTTTTAAAAACTTAAAAATATTCTTTAACCTAAATCTATGAGCTACCAGCTACATTTTTTTTAAATTCAATATATAACTGTCTGTTGGTAAATCTTTACCTTGAATAAGCGACCACGCAGTTCGACCAAGGGATGTGTTACAAAAGAAACATTCACTGGATGAATTCTTCTGTCCATTGGGAATACACATGTTATCTACCTCGCAGTATGCTATGAATATAACAAAATAAAAACAAAAACATGAGTGATTTGTTAACTAAACGATTCTGAAAAATCGACGAATAACTTTCTTCTGCTAAACTTTTTTCAATATAAATACAATTTTTATACAGAAATAATTTAAAACGAATTTTAAAGTATACATGTTTTTTTTCAGAAAATATAGATAAGCCGTTACACAATAAAGTCGATTTCCTCTGTAAACTTCACAAAAGTGTAACATTTTATTTCTCACCATTGTTAGGTGACCAAGTGTATCTACTCCGTGAAATGTTGCAGATATTACATGGATAAGTCTTGTTGGATTCTCCGTCACGAAAACACATATCACTGATAAGGCAATAATCTGGAAAAAAGTAACCATACCATTAATAAAATCCAATAAAAGATACATAAGTACATCTAATATTGGGCCTTTTTCTAATAAGAGAGAGGATATGATTTAGTTAAAAGCAGCATACTTTTCCTTTAAATTTCAAGTTAATCAGTTGCTGTTGCAAGCAGTAATATTTATTCTCCTGACCTGCCCCAACTCTGTAATATTGAAGTTGAAAGCAGAATAAGCAACTACTATTAACATTTTTTGGATATGATGATATTTCAAGTATTTTGGTTTCCAATGCAGCCATTTTGGTAACTTTTTAAGTCACCTATATTATGCAGTCTGAAATACCTTTAGAGGACAAAATCAAATCAAAAAGAAAACTACTTCAAATTCTGTGGCAACAGTGGAAGAGTCTGCCCAACCGATTCCATTATTTATTGCAGAAATAAAGAACAATGTTCACTTAGGGTCTTTTATGGCCCTGTGAATTTCTGAAAAATCAGAACTGCTCATTTGTAGTTGAAAATATGTTAAATTTCACTTGAACCCTTGGTGACTCTATATCAACTAAAAATGGCGTAATTTTCTCTCTAGTCCATGTATTATGACGTCATGAACTGCGTCATTTTCCTTAAATCTTGAAAATTTCTTTAAAAATGGCTGAAAATGTAAGCTGTTTTTGAATATTTTACATAGCCCCAACCTCTGATCTAAAATTTTAACTATATAATGAATGGACTTTTTCAGAAGATTCTAATCCATAAAATTTTTTTGGGGATCGCAGGGTGGGCTCATATATAAATTATTAGTTGAAGATGCTCAAATTCACTAATTTTCCTCAAAACTCAAGGACATTGCAGTTTCACAAAGTCTGTTTTTCAATACTTGGACTCTCAGGGGAAGTTTTTTTTTATATATGAAATGAAAGCACTGAGTCTCTACTTTTTTTTTAAGTTCTATATGAGGCATTGGAACTTGGTCAGTTAATTGATATATGGTCAGGGCCATTTTATGGAGTTAATGAACCTACCTCTTTGATTTGATGAGGGAGAAATAGCTGTACAGTACTAAGAAAAAAATCATTTATTATTTTTTTCATATCTCCCATGTTTCCATCGCAGTAGGGCCATTTCGGAAATTCTTAATGCTGCATGCAAATCTAAACTTGGTAATTAATAATATTTATGTTGCCAAAATCAATAATTTCTCCAACCGTATAATTGTGAAGGAAGAGCTTTGTTAAAATACAAAACTGAAGATGAAACCAACTATTCAGAATACCTGCTGCTATTGTCCAGTTGCCTCTGTCCTGAGTAGTATCACAAACTTTGCAGCTATAAAGGGTGTGGTTTTCTCCTTCTTGTATGCACTTGTCATCGATTTTACAGTAACCTAAAATATTGGAGAGGGTATAAATAATACAGAACATTGACATAAAATCTTTACATGAAAAAAAAGAACTGAAATGCACACAGGGAATGGCATATGTTTTACAGCACGCATATTCATGGTTTTTTTTTTAATTAATTTCGACGTAGGTGTTTGAGGTATTGTTGGGAATCTCTCCAGTCCACAGTGTAAAAATGTAAATGTGATGGGACTTTTTTAACCATGCACAGAGACGTAAGCGTAATCATGGGCATCCGTCTTACAATAAACCTTTTATACACGATGTCTCCTTTGATTCATTACTACCTTATGTGAATCAACAGTGAGATCTTCATCCCATTCGCACTATACTTTACTCTGTCTCTTTGAGACTTCTGAATAGTCTACTTGAAAAGGTAAAGGAAAGTCCATTTTTGGATTCCTCGACGCCAGACTACAGGCTCGGATCTGTTGTAATGGATATTAGAAATCATAGGCTTTTTAAACCGCTACGTTTTACGGAAGGAAATAGAGCTAAAAGTACTCGTTTTTCCCTTAAACTTCAATATGCCAACAAAAAAATAAACGCAGTTAATATAAGTAATATTCTCAATCAAAAAGGGTCCAATTTTGTATTCCATCATAATTCAAAATGAAGACTACACCCCGTATTTCCTACAAAACATCGACTATTGCTTCCAAAATTTTTAACTACAAGACAACTTTACGGAGCCTAGATATTGAGCATCTGAAACATAATCCTCCATCATTTAATTGTTCTTCTTCATCCTACAATTATAGCCCTACTGGACATGTAACATGTGACTCGGGGCCTCAGTTTTTAAGGTCTTTCGCAACTTTCACTCCAAAGTGCCGAGCGCTTGGCGAAGGAACAATTGCTAGCCATTTTTATCGACTTAGGTCAGTCGCGGCCGTGATTCGAACACACGACCTTCCGTTTAACGAGCGAGCGCTCTATCGACTGAGCTACCGTGACTGTTGATAATCAGTATAAGAAACAGAAATATAATATGATTAAAAAGTTATAAAATATTAAAACGTAATGTTCATACTTTACCCTCAGTAGATTATATGTACCTTCAAGAAAGGACCACCTATTACGTGCAAGAGTAGAGTTGCAGTAAAAACATTCATTAGTTGCATTCCTTTCTCCATTGACAACACACAACTCACCAATTGTGCAAAAATCTAGGACAACATAGCAGAACATGAATTGTGTATAAAATAATCAATGCAGGCGACTGTACAGATAGTTGATTTTGACATAAAACTGTAGGTGTACTTTTCATGTTTTTTTAAATTTAAATATTTAACTATCAGCTGTTTTCCAAATATATGTGATATTAATGGAGAATTTTATTTTTCAATCATCTGTTGACGAGCACATTTTAAACAAATAGCACTAAGATTTGTTAAGAACAATCAAGGAAATTATCAAAATACTGTTACTAACCTGGATTTTGTGACCATGAATGTTTGCTGATAGAGATGTCACAAACATCACATGGGTTAGAAATGTTTTTCTCTCCATTTGAAATGCACTTATCAGCTATGATGCAATATCCTTTAGGCAAAAGGAAATTTGAAAGTTTTCTAATGAAGCATCAAGTCAATATAGCAATATAATTGAGTTCAGTTTTACACACACACACACACAAAAGAAACTTAAATTCAAGAACATTTTAAACAACTCACCATAATTATACTGCCAGTGAGTAATGTTAAAACTAGAATCGCACGATTTACAGGGATTATCTTTCTCTGTTTCTCCGTTTTGAACACAAATACCATCAATAAAGCAATGGCCTTAAAGGAAAGTAACTTACATATTTGAAAAGTTATCCTTAACATATAATATGTTATATTTAGAGTACTCGTTTTCTACTGTATCAGAGATACAGGGCGGGGCTTAAGGCGAGAGCGACAGCTCGAGCCGCGCCCCGCCCTGTATCTCTGATACAGTAGAAAACGAGTACTCTAAATGAATTGTGACACGACCTCTAAATGGAGTTTGCGTTTTAAAATGCTCCCTCGAATGAACAAACCAATAAGGTAACGGTATTTCACTGTTCAACCAATCAGATTACTTCATTGTGGAATATATAAAGAAAAGTTTAGAGATCGCGGAAATTTTAGCAGCGCGATGGGACATGTGGACGCGTTTGGAGAGTTTGATCTGGGCAGCAATTTTGACTTGCTAGACTTGCCGTCTATTGATGAATTCCTTATCAACGAAATCGATAACATTACATTATCGCAAGTATGTGAGACGATATAATTCGAAAATGCTGCATATGAGGGATTGCTGGACCTCTCCCTATCCCCTGGCAATGGCAACAGCTCGATGATGGAAATCGAAATTAAGGACATTGCTCCAAACGAAAGTCGGTTTGCTCAACCGGTCAGTGATGATGACATTAAAAACTTGATAAAAGACCAAGAAAATGTTAATACGAAAAATAACACCGAATGGGCAATGAATCTGTTTGAGAAATGGCGGGCCAGTAGAGGAGTGGATATTACCGAGCTAAATCACATGACTTCAGAACAGATGAGTTTCTGGTTAGGACGGTTCGTAATGGAGGCCCGAAAGAAAGATGGTACGGAATATCCACCCAGATCAATCTACCTGATTTTGTGCGGACTCTTACGATTTTTAAAGGACAACGGAGTATACGACAAGAATTTCCTCGATGAGTCTAACGGAGAATTTGCTGAATTCCGGAAATTGGTTGACGCAAGGATGAAATCCCTTATCGACAAAGGGCTGGGGTGTGACGTAAAGCAAGCGGACCCTATTCTACCCCAAGATGAGGAAACGCTAAAGAGCGTTGTTTGGAAGAGAAACCGCGGAGCAGTTGCAACATACCGTATTTTTTTATGCATGCAAACTCTTTGGATTAAGAGGATACGATGAACATCACAGTTTACAGTGTGAGCAGTTCAAAATCGGAGAGAACAGTGCTGGACGATACATCCAGTTCACTGGGAGGGCCACAAAAACCTATAAAGGCGGCTTAGGACATTTAAATATGCAGTCAAAAAACCTGAAGCATCATTCTCCGCCCTTAAAGTACATGTACTGTATTTATTTACTGTATGTGTATTTGTATTTGAGATGTAATAATGTTTGGTCAAGATTAATGCAAATTAATTAATAATTATATTTATAGTTGATTTACTCCCCCCCCCCCCTTTTTTTTTACATCCACACATACAAAGAAATATACGTATCTACTTTAATGCAGTTAATTCGGTTTCATTTATTGAAGGTAATCGATGTATGGTTGACTACTTTAAGCTGTATTTAGAGTCTCAGGGGAATACCGGTGCATTTTACAGACGGCCATTACCTCCCACCGACGAAGTTCAGATACGATTCGGTCAACAGTTGGTTGGAGTAAATAAGCTGAAATCATTTATGAAAACAATCGCTGAAAATGGTGAACTGAAAGAAAATTTTAGCAACCGTAGTGGTAAACGTACCTGCACCACGCAGTTGTATATAAGTGGAGTTTCAGAGCAAGAAATTATGCGACGCACAGGGCATAGATCCAAGAAAAGTGTAAGAAAGTATAAGCGTAGTAGTGAACAGATTGATGTTGCAGTGTCAAAAATTTTGGATCCACCCCAGAACAAGTCCGTTTGTGTAAAATCGGAAAATGATCCCCAAAGATAGAAAGTGAAGTGTGAAAGTACATCAGAGGAAAATTGTTCTAGTGAATTCCGTGTTCAGCAAGACCTTACCAATTCAAACAAGGCAGTTTTTGCTAATTGTAGCTTTAATTTTTGCATTGGCAATTAAGCGGATTTTGTACAGTGTATTTTTTTTACATTGACTAAAAAAATGTTCGAAAATTGATGTTACGTCAGATTCTGTTAATTATTTTGCCAAATAACTGCATTGAACATTTAAAAATTTACACAGGTCTCTTTCTTTAAAATTTCCGCGAGATGTTGGCAGTGATCCAAACATTGTTCGTGCTGTATCAGAGATATTTTGCAGATACAGAAAAATTTTGTCTTCATTTGCATAAAACATGCCCCTCAAATGTGTACTGTATCACAGTTACGGCACAGTCAATTTCTATACAAAAACACCAAAGTCGTGTCACAAGTAAATACGTTTTCCAATTCATCAACATCAAAAAATGTTTTTCAAGGAGAAAACACAATATAATTTAATACCTGTTTCATGACATGTACGCATACTTTCAACATTTTAGGAAGGTTTATTTGTCTCAATAAAACAGTATTTTGATCAAATTAGTTACGTTTAAAGCAAGCAGCGCAATTGTTAACTGTCTACTAATCAAAACATAGACTATACCTTTTGCAAAGGACCAGCTGAACTTGTCTACGACAGGGTCACATATTTTACAGTCAATTGTAGTATGATTTTCGCCATGTTTTATACACTGTTCATCGATCAAACAATAATCTTAAAAAATAAAAGGATTGTTGTCTTTAATAACATCAAATATTTGTTTCGAACATGTTACGTAAGAAATATGCAAACAGAAATAGAAATTATTAATTAAATTACTATTGATATAATTTGTTTTTATTTTAACTTGCTTGTAATTGAGTGATTTTAATATTTATATTCATATGCACGTTTTTGATTATTTGCGTTACAGGTTCTTTTTTCGTAAAAAAGTATCCCTTTCTTTGTCTTTGTATTCAATGCAAAATCGTCAATGCCGTCACAAGCAACATGAATTGTTCTTATTTTGTCGAAAAATGAGAAATAGATTCATTTTTGAACACTCTTCCCAAAGAAAATGCGCGATTACTGCTCAAAAAAAGTAACGCGTTACACGCTTAACATATTTTTAATCTGCACTGTAAATTTTTGTATTTTGTATGAAATCTATTTAAATTTTATTTTTTGACTGGAATCGGGTAGCTCCATTCAAAACTGTTTCATACTAAAGTCACCCAAACTGCGAGTATTGTTTTGATATCACCGATGGGATTTATAGGTCTGGGTTTAAAATTGTAAAAAGGCACCAACATTGCGCGAAACGTCTATCAGTACCTTGTCTTTAGCTCTACATCATTCTGTACCTTATTTACAGCTTTATATAATTGCCTTGCTTTATATCAGTACCTTGATTATATGACCAAATATTCCAGTCAAGGGATGTATTACAGTAAAAACATTCGTTGGAAGCATTTTTCTGTCCATCGGGGATGCACATGTCATTTATAATACAATACCCTGAAAATAAATAGAGTTTTGCACAGAGTTTTGCGTTCTGTCTTCTTTATTCTGTATCATTAATTTATGATATATTATAGTACAAAGATGTAGTTTATGTTGGTTTAAAAAGTTGACATTTGTAGTATTTATCAATCAATCAAATTCAGACATTATTGCAATTTTTGTTTTGCTCAAAAGTATACTAACCAGAAATGCCGAACACTGCAAATATTGCCTTTTATTATAAATTGATAATTTGGGGGGGGGGGGGGGAGGGGGGTAAAATATTCGAAGATTGATTGATTGATTGTATGTTGTTTAACGTCCCATTCGAGAACTTATATAGAGACGTCACCATGTACCGGTGAAGGGTTTCAAATTTTGACCTTTACTCGGCATTCAGGGCCATTGAGCAGTGAGGGATCTTTATCGTGCCAACGCCTGCCGTGACACGGGGCCTCGGTTTTTAAGGTCTCATCCGGAGGACCCGCAACTTTCACTTCAAAGTGCCGAGCGCATGGCGAAGGAACAGTTGCTACCCATTTTTCATCGACTTGGGTCAGTCGCGGCCGAGATTCGAACTCATGACCTCCCGATCACGGAGCGAGCGCTCTACCGACTGAGCTACCGTGAACGGTGAAATATTCGAAAAAGAATCTCTTCTAATTTTGTAGGTTACATTTTATTTTACATTTAGGGCAATGAGATGAAAGAACCAAATTCCCTATTTTCATAAAAAATAATAATGGCTACTGTATATGATATAATAAAAAGAAAACGTACAGTTTGTATTACAGAAATATTTCGTGCGTCATAACAAAATATAATTATGGTATCTTACCAGGATTTCGTGACCACGTGTCAACACTGTTTGAGGTGTTACAAAAGTTACAAGGATAAGTGTTGTTGGATTCTCCGTCCATTACACACACATTGTGTATCAAACAGTATCCTAAATTCATAAATGGAAGAAAAATGTACTTTCAATAAAATAACATAAGGAATAAAATTACAGCTGAAACAAGATTATTTATTTATTTGGAATATCAATAAAATTTTTTACATTATCAGGGAAAAATTTCAAAGTGCAAATTACACGTTCGCGTATGAAATATATTAGGGAAGGTGCTGGTAATGATCCTTAGCTTTTGACTGATAATTTTCTACACATAACAAAACTCATAAAAACAATCCTGATGGGACTAATATCCTTTTTGGTAACTGAATAATGGGCATACTGCATAATATCTCTATGACTTTTCAATCGTAAGTGTATTGTATTTTATTTGCATAAAAATTATGGATTACTTTTTTGCAAGTGGTAGAAAAGACTCGTAATTTTAAAAATGTATACATCTAGTCCTAAAATCTATAAAATTTTTACATTTTCGACTTATTCTCAAGAACAACTTAATTTTAGCCAATTTTAACAAACGCTGGCACAAAGTTTGTTTAAGGCAAATAAACACAGGAAAGGATTACCAAAAATGTTTCGTTGAAGTCCACTAGACCAGAAGAGATGAAACCTATGAAAAGCCTATCTTAGATATAGATTTTCCTAAAATACAGATAATAATCCTCCAGGGTAGGGTAGGGCAACAATATGAGATCAAAATTTATAATGGGAATATATAGAAAAAGTCTCCTTCTCAAAACCAGTGGACCAGAGAAAATTAAACTTATTGAAGCTTTCTCTTGTTATTCAGGTATAATAACTATGTAAAACGCTAATTACCTTCACTTAATGACCAACTGTCTCGTCTTTGAGATGCATTACAATAGAGACATTGATTTGACACATTCTTCTGTCCATCAGCAATACACAGGTTCTCAATGTTACAATAGTCTTTTCAATAAAAAAAGGACCTTATAATTTACATGACACTCAAAGTAAATTTATTTGCATTTTACTAAGTCAACATTAAAACGGATACTCACAATCCATAAAATTATAGTCACAATATCATTTTTTTGGTGAATTGTAATAACAACATCTTAAAATTTAAAATCTTACCTGCGTTTTGTGACCAAAAGTACTTGCTGTTTGAGACATTACAGAATTCGCATGGATACGTTATGTTTGCATTGCCATTCAATATACACGTATCAGCAATGAAGCAGTAATCTTGAAAAAAAATAATAATTCGAGTCACTGAATTGTATTTAGTAAATGAAGGGAAAGCTCGACATAAAACTTTGTAAAAGTCAATGAAAATATATAAATTTGTATACAATTGTAATAATTGTAAAGGTACAAGAGCAAAGAGAAAGGAATTCGAAGAAATCTTATAATCTTCAACATGTTAATGACATGGAAATACTCAATATGCTTTAAAATTAGGACATGGAAACAAACATAACCTGTTTTTGAAGCAATGACACGTAGGTGTTTTTTTTTTCATTTTTAACCAATATTTATTCGAAAATACAATATTGAATATATTTTTGTTTTAAAAATATTTGTTTAAATTTATGAGAGTATCATGGAAGCAACACTGACGGAATACTGAAGGAAGGTACCTCGGGTTAAGATCCAGTTGTTTGTGTCCACTGCAGGATCACATATTTTACAACCAAATTTTGTGTTATTTCCGCCCTCTTTGATACAGGTTCCATTGATAAAACAGTAATCTGAGCCAAAACGCATGAAAGAATGATATTTGTGACCATGCAAGAGACAGAATGACTATATAAAGTAATTGTGTTCTAATAGTTAGCTCTAACTTACACACAATTGTAATTCTTACATCAACTGAGCATATGTACAGTTTTTACATTTGGAAAAATACCTGAATTAAATGACCAAACATTACGTCCCTTAGACGTGTTACAGTAGTAGCATTCGTTGGACACATTTCTTTCTCCATCGTTGACACATAATCCATCAATGTTACAATATCCTGACAAAAATAAATCACCATATTATTTATAATCGTAATTGACGTTATATCTAAATCATCATTTTAAAAAGAATAGTATTAGTTAATAGATGTCATTGTATAACTAGAGGAGAGGGTTTTATATGATTCAACTTTATTCTAGAGAGAATAGAAGGGATATAAATCTGAAGTCCTCATACCCGAAACAAATCAAATAATACATGTCAGGGTTGTCCTAAAATTCGAAGACAAGCGTAGTTAGTAAAAAATTGTTGACAAATACTTAGTCATTACACCGAGAAAACCCTGTTTCTATGAACAATACAGTGTTTGATATAAGAAGGCGGCGCAGCATCAAGCCTTTGCAATCCAGATTTTAAAAGAAAATATTTTAAAAAATTCAGAAAAAGATTTTATTACTCGTATTTTCGAAACTAAAAACTCCTTATATGATTTTTACACTATCCTCCAATGTTCACTTCTGTGATTTAATAATAATAAATCAATATAAATCAATATAATTCTTTCCAGTCTAAGCACCTAACTTGCTTTGCTGAAAAGAGGCGGCACCTGGAATATTAACAAATGTGTTGAACTTCAATGTTTCCTGGTCCTTAGTATTACAATGTCTAAGTATGTGAGGAAACGAGATTGTGAGAAAAAGAACAGCCGAAAGAATTGGAAAAGAAATTGTTAACAAAGTAAACTCTGTTACTTCTTCTGGGTAGGCAGAAAAAAATCCCAAAAATATAAAGGATTTTCGAATTATAATTGCAAAGAAATAAATGTAAATAATTTAATTTTATTAATACATTTATGATTTTTTGCATCTCTTTGATAACCTAAAGGAATTAATTCTGGTTTGATATGTTTTATTTTTTTCCCTATACATTCGAACCAGCAGAGTTATCTTTTTTTAGTTTTGAGGTTGCTTTTGGTGTAATTTGACCAACAGCACATCTTGTACACCCAAAAACTTTTTGTGAAGATACTTTAATTTTTGTAAAAAAAAAATGTCCAGTCTAATACAATCTATATCGGAAATTTAGGAAAACCCTCGTAAATTAATAAAAATCAAACCTGTGTCTTGTGTCCACATGTAGTTGCTGACCGAGATGTTACAGATTTCACATGGGTGTGTTGTGTTTGCTCCTCCATCGATGACGCATGCATCACTTATGAGGCAGTAATCTGTGTTAGATATAGTTTTAAATGATTAAAAGTTATTTAGATGTACGATGGAGAAACTAAAGTAGTAAATTAATGGGAGTAAATGGATGTTCTATGTAAAGTTTATGTTTTTTAAGTTTGATGTGTGTATTCTGTACTGAGTGATAGATTGAATTCAGATCAAACTCGAGCTCAAAGCCAAAAAAAAAAACAACAACAACAACAACAAATTATCATTATCTTCTATGTCATCTGATCCAATCTCAGTTTCCAGAAGTCCCTGTTGACTCTGCGCGAAATTTGCATTGTTAAAATGGACCTTTGATAATGATCACTGATTGTTATCTTCACATTTTATAATATCTTACGTGGTCAGTGACCATTAGATCACAAATAATCTTTCGAGATAAATTGTCGGTATCAAGGGGGGCAAAACTTATTCTTTAAACGTTTTTCTGCAATTGTCTCTTGCGAACGGGTTTTGTTGGTGTGTAGATATGCTCCTATTGTGTATGATATCACAAGTAACCACATGAACATGTAGTCGATAAGATTAACATTGATTTAGACGCTCAAAATTGCAACCAATGATTGATATAGTGATGCCTTAAAAGAAACCCAACTATTTCTTTCCCAACCAAAACATAACTGTAAAAAATCGCAAAGTAGCTCTATAAATTTTACACAGACTATACAAAAAAGCTGCTAAGTATATAAAAGCATGGAATGAAAGACATGTATCTGTATACCTCGTGAGAGTGTCCAACCTGTCTTGTTCTCACTTGGATCACAGATTTTACAATTGTGAGATGTAAGATTTTCACCTTCTTTAATACAGGAGCCATCAATCAGGCAATAATCTGAAGAAAAAAAACATCTCAATGAATCAATATATTTACTTTTTAAATTTTCATCTGAATACATTTTCAAGTTAAGGGCAATAAATTTTTATCACAATCATTATCATAAACGCTATAGCCTTTGTCAGAGTTAAACTTACGTGAGTGAATGGACCAATTATTCAGCTCTATAGATGTATTGCAGTAGAGGCAACTATTGGTCGTGTTTCTCTGTCCATCACTTACACACATGTTGTCTATGAAGCAATATCCTGTGAAGTAAATATGTGCATCTATTATCCATGATGTTCGATACACTTTACAAAATATTGACTACAATGTTTAAAAAGATAAAATCAATAATTTCGGCTCCTTGATAAAATATAATGGTATCTTACCAGGATTCCGTGACCACGTGTGAACACTGTTTGAGGTGTTACACGAGTTACAAGGATATGTGTTGTTAGATTCTCCGTCCATTACACACACGTTGTGTATCAAACAGTATCCTTAATTTATAAATGAAAGAAAAAAATGTATGAAAATTATATAAACAATTAAAATTATATAAGGAATAAAAACACAGGTGAAACAACGCTATTTATTTATTTGGAATATCAAAATGTTTTTTTTATATTATCAGAACAAATTTTCAAAGTGTTAATTACAGGTTCGATAATGAAATAGATTAGAAAAGGTGGCTGGTAATGATCCTTAGCTTTTGACTGATAATTTCTACACAAACTCATTAGACTATGTTGATAGGATTAATACCACATTTGGCAACTGAATAATGGGCATACTGCATAATATCTTTGTGACTTTTCAATCGTAAGTGTATTATATTTTAATTGCATAAAAATTATGGATTACTTTTTGGCAAGTGGTAAAAAAAACTCGTGATTTTTAGAATGTAGACATGTTCTCCGGTCAGTGGTTCTTACTTATTTAGATTTCAATGTATCGTATAACATTGCACCAGTAGCAATTAATGATACAGTATATATAGTTTCTGATTTTGTCCACATCATTTAAGGAATAGAAGTAAATGCAAAGGATAATAAGAAGGATAAATTGAAAAAAAAGAAACAAACAAAAACAAAGATATGCTCTTTCTTAGCTCACCTAAGCCGAAAGCTCAAATAAGCTTTTTTGATCTTATCTGTCCGGATTTAGTCCGTCTCTTTGTCAGTCTGTTTATAAAATTTCCACATTTTCGACTTATTCTCAAGAACAACTTCTTCAAGTTTAACCAAAGTTGGCACAAACCTTGTTTAAGATCAATAAAAACAGGAAAGGATCACTAAAACATTTTCCTTTGAAGTCCACTCGACCAAAAGAGATGAAACTTATGAAAAGCCTTTCTGAGGTAGTATAGATTTTCCTAAAATACAGATAATTGTCCCCCAGGGAAGGATAGGGCCACAATATGAGATTAAAATTTATAATGGGAATATACAGTAAAAATCCCCTTCTCAGAACCAGTGGACCAGAGAAAATTAAACTTAGTGAAGCTTTCTGTTGAAATTCAGGTATAATAACTATGTAAACATTTATTACCTTCGCTAAATGACCATCTATCTCGTCTTTGAGATGTATTACAATAGAGGCATTGATTTGACACATTCTTCTGTCCATCAGCAATGCACAGGTTCTCAATGTTACAATAGTCTTTTCAATAAAAGAAATAAAAGGCCAAATAAGGTTTCAGAATTTTTTTTTATAGCATATAACCTCTAAATACTGAATGATTTACGAACAATTCAGCGTACACTTCAGTGTCAAATTTAATAGAATATACAAAAAATTCTCTTTATTAAAGATAATATCAATTCACACATTTATGCCATTTCAGAATTTATATGCTAAAAATAAATAAACCGTAGTGACCTTATAATTTACATAATGATACTCAAAGTACATTTATTTGATATTTGTATTTTATTAAGTCAACATTAAAACGGATTCTTACAATCCATAAATTTATGGTCATAATTAATATCATTTTTATTCTGTTTTGTTATAACAACATCGTAAAAGTTAAAATCTTACTTGTGTTTTGTGACCAAGAGTACTTGCTGTTTGAGACATTACAGAATTCGCAAGGATATGTTATGTTTGCATCGCCATTCAATATACACATATCAGCAATGAAGCAATAATCTTTAAAAAAATTATGTAATTATTGTTTAGGTACAAAAGCAAAGAGGAAGGAATTCAAAAAAATCTTCAACATGTTAATGACATGGAAACCTCAATATGCTTTAAAGGTTACGACATGGAAACAAACATAACCTATTTCTGAAGCAATGACACATATTCTTTGTTTATTTTTAACCAATATTTATTCGAAAATACAATATTGAATATATATATTTTTTAAAATATCTAAATTTATGAGGGTATCAGGGAAGGAACCCTGAGGAATACTGAAAGTAGTTACCTCGGGTTAAGATCCAGTTGTTTGTGTCCATTGCAGGGTCACATATTTTACAACCAAATTTTGTGTGATTCCCGCCCTCTTTGATACAGGTTCCATCGATAAAACAGTAATCTGAGCCAAAACGCATGAAAGAATGATATTTGAGACCATGCATGAGACAGAATGATTTTAAGAAATAGTTATGCTGTAATAATTTAACTCTGACTTACAATCAGTTGTAATTCTTACATTAACTAAACACATGTACAGTGTTCACATTAAGAGAATACCTGGATTGAATGACCAAACATTCCGTCCCTTAGACGTGTTACAGTAGTAGCATTCGTTGGACACATTTCTTTCTCCATCACGGACACACAACCCATTAATGTTACAATATCCTAACAAAAAATAGATAACCAAGGTCAACTATAAAATAATGTCTGTTTGCCCTCTCCCGACGCAGGATTGGGTCTGTGGTTAGGTGAGAATTTTTTTTTTTCCATAAAATTTCAAAATCAATGCAGAATTTTCAAAATTTATTCTCCGAAATGCATAAAAAAAAATGCTTCCTGGTGGTTAAAAAATTTTTGTGTCGGGCCATTTTAAACCAGTCAGCTGGAAGAGGGCAACCAAAGAGCATCTGAGCCGAAGGCTCAAGTGAGCTTTTCTGATCACTTTTTGTCCGGAGTCCGTCTGTCTGTCTGTAAACTGTTAACATTTTCGACTTCTTCTCAAGAACCACTGGGCATATTTCAACCAAACTTGCCACAAAGTATCCTTGGGTAAAGGGGATTCAAGTTTGTTCAAATGAAGGGCCACGCTCTCTTTCAAGGGGAGATAATAAAGAATTAGTAAAAAATTAATAGCATCTTTTAAAAATCTTCTTCTCAAGAACCACAGGGTCAGGAAAGATGAAACTCGTGTGGAAGCATCCTCAGGTAGTGTAGATTCAAGTTTGTTCAAATCATGACCCCCGGGGGTAGGGCGAGGCCACAAAGGAGGATCAAAGTTTTACGTAGAAATATAAAGGAAAAATCTTCTTCTCAAAAACAGCAAAGCCATGATGAGTCATATTTATATGGAAGCATCCTCAGCTAGTGTAGATTCAAGTTTGTTTCAAATCATGACCCACGGGGGTAGGGCGAGGCCACAAAGGAGGATCAAAGTTTTACATAGAAATATATAGGAAAAATCTTTAAAAATCTTCTACTCAAATACAACAAAGCCATGATGAGTCATTTTTATGTGAAAGCATCCTCAGGTAGTGTAGATTCTATTTTGTTCAAATCATAAACCCAGGGGGTAGGATTGGGCCACAATGGAGGATCAAAGTCTTGAATAGAAATATATAGGAAAATTTCTTCTGAAGAAGAACTGCAAAGCCATGATTAGTCAATTTGATATGGAAGCATCCTCAGGTAGTGTAGATTCAAGTTTGTTAAAATGATGACCCCCGGGGTAGGGTCGGGACACAATGGGGGAACGAAAATTTTACATAGGAACATATAGGAAAATATCTTCTTCTCAAGAACTGAAAATCACGTTTAGTCACTTTTATATGGAAGCACCCTCAGGTAGTGTAAATTGAATTTTGTTCAAATTATGACCCCCGGAGGTAGGGTGGGGCCCAGTGGGGGATCGATAGTTTTACATAAGAACATATAGAAAAAATATTTCTTTTCAAGAACAGAAAAGCTATGTTTAGTCATATTGATATGGAAGCATCCTCAGGTAGTGTAGATTCAAGTTTGTTCAAATGATGACTTCTGGGATAGGGAGGAGTCACAATGGGGGATCATATTTCTATATTGAAATGAAAGCATCACCAGGTAGTTTAAAACTCAAGCCCCCCCCCCCCCCCAGTAATCTTTTCAATACTCAACTGATTTGTGCTTTTGCCTAGCCAATGTGCTCAGGTGAGCGATGTGGCCCATGGGCCTCTTGTTTAAAGATAGCCCAATCTGATTTATAATCATATTTGTTTCTATATGTTCTTATGTAAAACTTTTGATCCCCCATTGGGCTAAACCCTACCCCCGGGGGTCATCATTTGAACAAAATTGAACTAACACTATATCTGACATCACATCTAATTCATCATCTTGAAAAGAATAACATTACTCAGTAGAAGTCATTGTATAAGTAGAAAAGAGGTTTAAATTTAGACACCACTTTATTGATGGAATGGAGAGGAGACAAAAATTGCATGACTTCATACGTGAAACAAATCAAATACTACACACCAGGGTTGATCTAATATTCTAAGACAAGCGTAGTTTTGTAGGAACCCAGTGTCATAAATTAATGAAATGTAATAGATTAAACCATTTAGTAAAATTTTTTGACAAATACTGAGTTATTATACTGAGTGAACCCTAATTATATGAACAATACAGTTTCTGGTGTAAAAAGGCGGCGCATCAACCATTAGCAATCTACATTAAAAAATATTTAAAATCTTCGGGGGAAAAAAATACTCAAAATTTCGAAACAAAAACCCTTTATATGATTTTGTACACTATCTATCCTCCAATGTTCACTTAGGTGCTTTAATCATAATAAATCAATATAAATCATTATAATTATTTTAATGCAGCAGTCTTAACACCTAAGTTGCTGAAAAAAGGCGGCGCACTTTAAAAAAAATATTATTAAAATTATTAAAATATTAAAAGTTATTAAGATGTACGATGTAGAGACTAATTATAAAAATTGATGCAAGTAAATGGACCTTCTGTGTAAAGAATATTTGTTTTAAGTTTTAAGGTCAGACGATAAGTTCCTCTAATATCTGTTTTGTATATCTTCGTATTGTATGGAAAATATTCAAAATGTTTAATCACCTTTTGATTTCTAAACTTGTTTGTAATTGTCTTTAAAAATTTAAACACTAAAAAATGTGATATTGGCAAATTAAGTTTTTTCCAAAAGGATTCTATAGGAAACATCATCCTCTGGTATCTTGCACAAATGCCTGGTAAGGTACCTCGTTTTTTACGAGTAAACATGTTAAAGTAGCAATAATTCAATGACAAAATCTTAGAAAAAAAAAATTATATACTGATGAATAGATCGAATTAAAATAACACTATGTCAAATTTATGTCAAATTTGAACTCAATGCAGAAACTAGATGTGTCGTAATGCAACAAATGTCCGCGTAGGCAGCCATAATTTAAAAAATTAAGTTTTAAATTTGTATTCGAACTTGACCTGTATGAGGTAAAATACCTGCATATGCAATTTCAACCTTATACATACATCCCTACATAAGTTAGAGAGCAGAAACTGAAAATTTCTTATTTTTTTCTAAGTTCAAGAGGGATAACTCTGTCAAAAATCATCGAGCCATGTCCAAATTCGACCTTGACCTGTATTATCTGGTAAAGTACCTGCACATGCAATTTCAATCGTACACATTCATCCCTACAAAAGTTAGAGAGCTGAAAATGAAAATTTATTATTTTTTTCTAAGTTCAAGAGGGATAACTCTGTCCAAAAATTCATTGGACCATAACCAAATTTTAAATTGATCTGCGTATTCCTATGACGTATCCATGTGTCAAATTTGAGATGAATGTGTGCAACTGTTGCATAGATAATAAACGGAAAGTGATGATGACGTAATGACACAATGACGAAACAGGGTTACAATATATGTTCATGCCATTTTATGGCATTGTTTAAATAGGCCATTGAAAATGATCAATGTCGTTTTCATATTTCGTCATACCTTATGTGGTTAATCGTCATTAGGTTAAAAGTAATCTTTTATATATGTAAAACTTAGATGAATTGTCATTGTGAGAGAGGACAAATCTAATTCTTCAAACGTTTTTCTGCAATTGGCAATGGAGAATGGGATTTCTTCATGAGTAGATATGCTCCTACTGTGTATGTAATCACATGTAACCATATGTAGTCAATAAGATTAACATTGATTTACACTCTTAAAATTGCAATCAATGACTTCCAGATCATGTAATATATACATGTAGTGATGCCTTAAAAGAAACACAACTATTTCTTTCCTCACCCAAACATGACTGTAAAAAATTGCAATGTAGCTCTATCAACCTTACACAGACTACGCAAAAAGCTGCTAAGTATATTATACAAACATATATATATATATATATATCTTTACCTCCTGAGAGTGTCCAACCTGTCTTGTTCTCACTTGGATCACAAATTTTACAATTGTGAGATGTAAGATTTTCACCTTCTTTAATACAGAAACCGTCAATCAGGCAATAATCTAAAAAAAAATCACTCAAAGAATCAATATATTTACTATTTAAATTTTCATATGAAATACATTTTCAAGTTAAGGGCAATAAATTTTATCACAGTCATTATCATAAACGCTATACCCTTTGTCAGAGTTAAACGTACGTGAGTGAATGGACCAATTATTCAGCTCTATAGATGTATTGCAGTAGAAGCAACTATTGGTCGTGTTTCTCTGTCCATCACTTACACACATGTTGTCTATGAAGCAATATCCTGTGGAGTACATATGTGCATCTATTATCCATGATGTTCGATATAATTTACAAAATATTGAGTAAAATGTTTAAAAGGATAAAATCATCCACGATGAAATCACTTATTTTCCTTATGGTTTCATTTTTGTTGTTTTCGTGGTACGAAGAGACTCATGAATATATGTCCTCTAAGAAATATTAATTTCACATATATATACATGTAACAATTGCTAATTTTTAACCACGAAATTAAGTCCCCACAAACCAATATATTCTCCACAATAATTTTTCCCTTCAGAAAAATGAATAATTTTAAAGTAACCTAGACATATTATATGAAACTTTTATTCCTTTATTGATGTTAATTAGCTGAATTAATTGAATTAAACCAAAAAAACTATTTTGGCACTTAACCAGTGGTTATTGTCCAGTTACTCTTGTTTGCACTTGGGTCACAATGTTTACAGCCATTTGAAGTCTGATTTTCGCCTTGCTTATAGCACTGTCCATCAATTAAACAATGATCTAAATGAAAGAAAAATTATAATATTTAACCATCACAATTTATTTATCCCCGGAAGAAGAATTGTGACTTCAGTAAATTTTATTGATACCTGGACTAAAAGACCATAAACTTTGTTCCAAAGAAGTATTACAGTAGTAGCAGTCGTTGGAAACATTTTTCTGGCCATTCGATATACACTGGTTATTGATTTCGCAGTAAGCTAGGAAACAAAATGAAAACAAGTACTAGAGTTTTTACAAGTTTAACACATAAAGTATGTAGAAAATTAAATATCTGTTAAAAAACAATGTTCATTTAGTCATTTCTATGTCTCGATTATTATTGACTGTTTATAATTTGGAGTAATTTATCTAAAGAAAAAACTCATTGTACCTGGGTTTTTGCTCCAAGAGAGCTGATTTTCCGAGACATTACAATACAGACAGGGGTACGTGGAGTTTGTGCCTCCATCCACAACACAAGAATCTTCTATGAGACAATAACCTGTAAAATTCGTTTGTATATGACACGAAATTGGCTTTAGTATTGTGTGTAAATTTCTGGATGCAACCAATTACTTCATTTTTTTTTAAATTTCAAGCTTTTTTAATAATCTTCTTTCGAACAAAACATATAAATCAAGTGACATTCGAACTTTCCAACAGCCAGTACACGTGAAATGTATAGCTAAGCATAAAGTTATCAAAACCACTATTAGTTCTACAATTTACCATTCTTTAATTGCCATATGTTTTTATTTACACTGGTGTTACACATTTTACAGTCCATACTGACATGTGCGTCTCCGTTCTTGACACACAATCCATCGATGAGACAGTAACCTAAAGCGAATATATAATCCTTACTGATAACATGAAAGAAACTGCAAAGAAGCTACAACACTTCATGCATAATTGGTCATTTGTCGGGAATTTTTTAGACACATTAAAAATTTTTTGAATTTATTCCAAACGTTTATGGTGTTTTTATTGATTAAAACGCTGAGTTTGTTTCACTTGAAATAAATTAGTTACCTTCATTGAATATCCAGTCATTCTGTGATATATTTGACTGACAAACGTCACAGTTGTTGTTTGGATTAATTTGACCATCAAAATAACAGATGTCACCAATAAAACAGAACCCTGGATAGAGAAGAAAAGTTGAAATAAAACTATGCTGAATTTCAAAAGTAATGAATATTGTTATTTGAATGTATTTAGATTCCCCCCATATTAGTGACTGGAGGTTTACCTGGATTAGGAGACCAGGCTGTTATGTTGAGAGATGGGTTACACACACTGCAAGGATTTGTTCCATTTATTGCTCCAGCTTTGAAACACTTCCCATCAATAAAACAGTGTCCTGGTTAAATAAAAAGAAAATTTGGTATTCAAAAATGTTTTTAGCAAAGGAATCAAGACATGAATTCCAATAATCAAAATATAAAGAACAAATACCTGTGTTGAATGACCACTGATATTTATTATTTGCAGTATTGCAGATATCACAGAGATTGTCTTTATTTGTATCTCCAGCAGCCACACAAGTATTGTTAATGTAGCAATAACCATCCTACAAAAATATACATTATCAAATATATATATTTTCTTTTTGAGAGATAGACTTTAGTGGAAATGAAAACTAATTTTCATTAAGACATTGAGAACCTTTTTAGAAGCTTCATCTTGTATTAAAAAGAATGAGCATATTATATATTTATTGTTTAATTTCGGTTTTGAAAGGAGGATTAATGACTTTATGGGGCTAAAAATAATGCCACCCTCCACGCAGAATTCACACAATTGTTATCGTTGACATTTGACTTGTTTTAAACACTGGTGACATCTTTTGATGGTCCAAACTTGGTATAACAGATACCGCAAACCCTTTATCCATAACTATCCCTATGGTAAAGTATAAGCCAGATTGACTTGTTGTAAATTTACCTATTTAACTTTAAATCTAGGTGAGAGTCAATTGGTGTCTGATCCAGGAGCAGAAAAAGATAAAGGTATACTCCTGACGAAAAGGTTTTTAATATAGAAAACTGTCAGTCTTGGTATCATAACTTGAAATTTGGTTCAGTGAATCCTTCTTTATGGTCCAGTATTTACCAGACTGGTCAAAAGAAAACGATTTATTGATTGATTGTATTTGCTTTACGTCAGAGGTCCATTTTTGCTCTGCTCCTGTTTTGTGACTTCTGAACTCGAGTACTGTTCGTTATCTCAACATATTTCATTCAAGAATTTTTCACTCATATAGAGACGTCATCATATACCAGTGAAGGGTTTCAAATTTAATTTTACTCGGCACTCAGGTCCATTGAGCATTGAAGGCTTTTCATCGTGCCAACGCCTGCCGTGACACGAGAACTCGATTTTTAAGGTTTCACCCGAAAGATTCTTGACTTTCACTTCTACTGCCGGGCGCTTCGCGAATGAACAGTCACTACCTATTTTTCTGTCTTAGGTTTGACGCGCACAGCAAACGAAAATCGAACCTGGGCCACTTGATCAAGAAGCGAACGTTCTTCCACTAGGCTACCGTGACCGGTTCCAAAAAAAGGAAAGGGGACATTTTCTTTGAAAAAGGATTTTCACAGAAACCTGTTTTCCATCTTGACTTCTTTGAAATAAATTTCTATTATCTCCCCACCCTGTGGATGATGTGTGAGCATGAATGGGCCAGGAGAGAACAAAATATTCCCTAGACATGCAGGAAAGTTTGATACCCAAAGAAACAATTTGAAGTATTACAATTTCAATCGATCTTTTAAATCCCTCGTCAACGTTCAACCTACGGTTAAATTTCAAGCCATATTGGAATAAGGGGAAAATAGTTTCAAAACCAGAATTTTACACTAACATATTCTAATCTTTTGCATGTATTTGGAAACTTGCATCAAAGTCAGTGACCACCTTTTCGCGTGATCACTGTAATGGTGTGTATCAGATTTTGGAAAGAGAAAAATTGTGAATATTAATAGCACTGTATCTTCAATAGAAAGTATACTCCTTCAAACAAATACCTTAAATATAAATGTTATGTTCCCGGTATCATTCCTGAGTTCCTGACAGAGAGCCTGATAGGTGTAGACATTATAGTTGTCAGTATATCTACTGCCGTCATTTGAGACATTGAAACTAAATTTTGTGATCCAGTGGTCATCTGTGTTGTAATCAAGGGGACAGTACCCCTCAAACAATGTCCTTTCTTGAAGACTGGCTTCATAGTTTTGTTCGGACAAAATTGTACCATCCTCAGCCAGCTGAAATATACAGAACAAAGTTAAGATTAAACATCCTTGTCCCAATAACCTTGCAAAGATTTATATAAAAATATGAAACTTTTTATCATGCGATTATCAATGAATATTAAGATACGTTACCGTTTTTCTCCTCAAGTAACAAGTTGTGTTCATATTTTCCAGAAAGTATTTGCCATATAGAGTAATTTCATCACACGCTTCGGAAGACCTGTCACATAATCCGAAGTCAGAGATGTGTGTTATTGACGGAGGACCAGACAGATCAAAGGAACAATCGCTTCCTGCATACCCACTATTGCAAGTACAGTTACCTACATGGACGAACGGGTACTACCCTTTAAACCATTGTCAAATATATCGGATATTATTATTGTCTTTTATCACACGAAAGAAAAATTGGATTTGTCATTAGGCAAAACCAAATCAAAAGTATTCATAATATTATTAATCATGACTTATTTTTGCGCTTAAGGAATTTAAGTAAAAATAATTTCACCAAAATAAAAAAAAATGGAAATTTTGTTTCAATTATTTAGCTAATCCATGTCATCTATATTATGAAACGAACAGCTTAACACTACTGTATTTAGGAAGGCGACCTTAAAGAGACTAAAATAGCTAAAACTTACCAGAATTGCATATACCATTTCCGCTACAGTTGTTTTCACAAAGACTCTCAATTCTGTATGTTATATCTGGTTCTGTTTCCTGGAAAGTACTATTTAAAACAACAAAAGTTGAACATTGCTCTAGAGCTGCTTCTATGTGAATTTTAGTGATGTTCACGTCTCCAGTCATCTGTTACAAATAAAAACAGAGAAGCATTGACAATAAGAAAAAAAATAAGTATCCTTATAAGCATATCTTCTGAAATCTATAAACTTTTTTGATGGATCATATTAAAGGAACTTTTTTACGGATTGCTGAAAAAATGTTTCAAGTAGATTTTTAAAAAAAAGAGGACATAGGACTCAGTAACTTCCCATTATTTTTTTTAAATTTCAGAATGTTGAAAGTTCATAATAGGAGTTTAAACAAAACAGTTGAATAAGGAGGTAATATGTATATGTTAATCTTTTACTACAAGTGTGACAATGGTCTTTGCAATAACATTATACATGTACATATTTAGGAAAGCTTAATTACAAGATTCATAAAAAAGGCAACTGTATGTTAACATACCATGACATCAGAAATACAATTAAACAATGACGTGTTTGCAAGATCACTGACGTGCTCCTGACACATCAAATACGAATCCGATGCTTGAAATGCTTCATTGCATATGGCCGTTGCATTCTCGTTTGACATCACATCAGTATTAGTCTGTCGTTTTACTCGATTCTGATTCAAGAGACAACGGAATTAAGTAAGTACAAGTTTAGGTAAATGCTTGAAAGTAATGCTCAAAACAGAAACCAGTGGTGTACCATTTGCTGGACTTCGTTACTGCGAGGGACACTGGCTGCTAACGACTGTAAATGGCGTAAATCTCTTTTTCTTCTCAACTGCCCTTCAGGATTTAAGATACAGAAGTATCTTTTTCCCACCGCAAACTTGCAGTTCTTGTAATTACCGTAACTACAGACAATGTCTCCGTCCTGGGGATTGTTGGCTTTCTTTTTACAGGTACAAATACGATCGAAAACTGTGGTTATGGAATTCAGACTACCATAGACATTGTTGTCAAAGAGGTCTTTTTCACCATTTTTAACCCTTAAAAAGATTTCTTTTAAAATTGAAATGGCTGAATTGAGGAATCGTTATCGTATTCTAAAACATTGTTTCTTTTTCTATTGATACAATACAAATATGTTAATTATTATCATCGATGTTTATTATAATTTTCGATGTTAATTATCTATTTCGATGTTAAATTTAAAAATATCGAGGTCAATTACTCATATCGACCTGAAATAATATCAATAAGAATGCATACTGATTTTAATTTAAATCATCAATGCTAATATGTATTTTAGAAGTTTGTGTTCACATTAAGTTGTTAGTTTAAAAATATTTTGCTTAATAATAAAAAAAAATGTCCGGTCGGTTTTGTATCTGCAGCAGACTTTATCAATGAAATATACATTACCTCCAGGAATCAGAAAATCCGTTTGGATGATTATAATAGTGGTAGAGATCAGGGTTGTCCACTGTCTTATCAGGATTATTCCAAGTGAAGTCATTTCTGTAATTATCATCAAGGATTCCACACAGTCCGCTAGAATTCCCTACATCAGAAGGTGAGGGGAAAATGTCAATGTTTAACTGCCAGTCATTCCAATTCGGCCAGGATACAAATTTAATTTCCACTAACGTTCCTGTTGGTAAAATGACCTGACAATATATGAAAGTTTGTTAATGGGAATACTTTATTAAAATTCATCTGTAATAGATTTCACCTATAGCAAAAGAAAAAAATAACAACTTAAAAAATAGTAAATATTAAACTGTATCCCAATACTTGAATATTTGCTGATATTAAGTGCAAATGTTCATGATTGGTCTAATTTTAACGGATGGAGAAACATTGGGTTAGAATATTGGTGCAGTTTTCCCAGTTCTAAAAAAAGGTTTTAAAAAATCACAATTTTTTTATTCCAATTGTGCGTATATAGACGATAATTGCAGTTTTTAGTAAACAAATAAACCATGTTGCTTACAGACAAAAACCTAGAAATGCAGACCTTCAATCTACGTATTGTATGTTTTTTATTCCTCGATCAACTGCATGCTCTGATCAAGAAGACGTAATTCGAGATTCGAAAATTTTCGAATGCAAAATAACCTTAATAGGTCAAAAGTTAATCATTTTACTTATTAACATAGAGTTTTTCCTGATTTTCATGATATTTTAATTTAGTTTGCTTTTAGCAAGTGTCCTTAATATTTCCACCAGAATATCTACGGACGTACATCATAGAGATATACATAATCGACTGTTTTAGAGTTCTTTGTTATTCTACTTATTTCCCATTTTCTACACAAAATTTATTTCCCTTATACCTGTCTCTTATTCGAAGGCGCCTTGTAAGGTAAATCCATATTTCTGTGTTTTCCTGATGCAATGACCAATCATATTGATTGTCACAATTTGTCGTTTAGTGCACTTTTATCCTCATGACGTATTCTATATTTATTGAATTTTAAAGAATAGTGTGGTACCTAATACATGTAGTTTTGATAATAAAGTTATACTTTTTCAGAGGTTGTTAATGTTTCACCTTGTAGAATTTGTCAGATGCTTTGATGACTTTTAAAACTTTATCCTCACAAGAAGGGAAGTTGATGACCGTTTGCGTATTGCATATATCTACGATGAAAACGTCTTTTCCTGATCTTACAGCAACAGCACACGTGCATCTTGGGTAGGAATAGGCAGGATGGCACATATGGTGTTTTTCTTGTACCTGAAATAAAATATCATTAAGAATATATGTATTTTACTTCACACTTAATAACATAGGTACAGAGATTCTCAATTTTGAATTTATGGTCAAACCTCTTGTTGGAAGATTTGGTTTCGGTACAATATAAAAGTCCCATCCAACTGACATTCATAATATCTACAAAGATTCACATTTTTTGCATATTAACAAAGAAAGTTAAATATAAATTCATAAAATTCAGTCTCGGTTTCCTAAACTGTAAATACATTTAAACAAAAAGAAACATGTACATTATCTTATGATCTACATTCTGGAATAAACGGAGTTTGTTATAAAGAAAATTACCAAATTAATTTTTATCAAGGGTTGAATCATTTTCTGCACATCTAAAATTCGTTGTATCGACCGAAAAACCTCCGAAAAGATGACTTCAAACGAGACTGTTGATATCCTTGTTTTATCAACTTGTTTGTCAATAGCTTGCCTCGTTTTAGAAATTGTTCATGCATGTTCTTGCGTATCGAATCAACTGAGAGACATAAACCCCATATTGCAGGTGATAAGGGTATATTGCTACATAAGTAAGGGAAATTGACAATTGAAAAGTTGAAGTCATCACGTTTGTCATAAAGCTTTGTTGTTAGGTTACCATTAACGTCTTGTTCCCAGTAGCCCAGTTATATTTGAGAAGCGTTCTATCTATTTTTTTTTTTTCATCTTTTCTTTACTATATTCTTTGACCCTTACTCGTAATTGTGGATCCACATTTCATTATCGACTAAATAAAACCTTGGATCTAGGCTACAGGAAAACGCGTGCATTTAATTTTTTTTTTTCTTGTAATAATTTTACCTTTACTTCAACCAGCACAGACCAGAGCAATGACTTAATAAAATGAATTGCCATTCATTAAAAAAAATGAAATATTCTTTTCTGGCCTAGTAGTTCTTCATAGAATTTTGACGACCTCTTCCCATATTTTTTTAATTATCCCACATAAAAAAAAGATATGATGTAAATTTTAAACAAACTCAAATTCATTTTAATTGACTTTATCTATAGTTGGCTTGCGCTAAAATTTGCTGATATTGGCTCAGTATGTAGAAAAAAGTATACAGTGAAAGGAAACAGATCACGATCACACTAAGATCGGAAAAATTTACTGGCAATTTCAAATGATAACATGCTTTTAATACCTCAAACAAGACAAGAACAGAAGAGAGATCAACATACAATACACTTATAAGAAGAAATAAACATTTTGCCTTTAGCATATAAAACTGTGCAAACTGTAACATGGCATGCAAGACTGCTCATAAAATTCCCAGTTCGATATCCTTACTTTCCATCAAATGTCTTCATATGTGGATCTGTGTGAGATTCACAATTTTTCCCCTTCCACGCTGAACTGCTGTCTTCTATATAAACCTTCAAAAATAAATATAGAAATGTTTTAGTATTAAATCTTGTTCTTAATAGATTTTGAACAGTGGTTTACCTGGTTTCTCAATAATGTAAAATAAAGTGATGAAAAAAAAAAAACCGTACCGTTCGCCTATAATGTTACCACACAATAAGGAAATTATACATCTGAAACTTACACGAGATTATTTGCGACAAATAAAAATATACATATCTTCCTGTTGGAAAATAGAGACAATTGTGCATTATTAAGAAATATAGTAACCTGTATATCTGGAAGCGTGATATATTCCCAGATTTTGCTACCTGGACCATTTGTTAATCCAGTATCAAAACGCAGAGTGATGTGTTTGTCGATTAGTCTGAAGTCACCATCGTGTTTATTTTGAACTTTTATTTTGTGTACAACTTTCCAATCATTTGTGTTGTATTTATCCCTTTCGTGGTATTTGAAAGCCTTGATTTCAGTATCACAAGATCTTCTATTTGGATCGTCACAGACGCTCGAGGAGCTGTTATGTACAGCCATTTGTATATACAGTGGAGTCTGATCGTTTATTGTGTTCCCCGGAAGGTTTAGAATTCCATTTTGATTTATAAATGGTATTGTAAGCTGTAGTTCCACTTCTGCACTTTGACCCCTATTGATGCGAAGTATTGGGGTCAAAACCTACATGTAATAATTGAAACTTATCTTAAGTTATGTTCCATATGCAAATCAAAATTAATCCATGCAAATTATTATATTTATTTTATTCAACATATGAATTTATTTACCCAAGTGTTTTTCATCCTCGTCGAAATCAGACATCGAAATGGAGGATAATGAATCCAGATATTAGAATTAAAAAATCTTACATCCTAAATTATGGTTGACTCAATTTTTTTTTTTTTACAAATAACTTACAAAGATAATCGTATTCTTATGTGTACTTAAATCAGTTATATAAACAGAATATCATTTTCAAAAAATTTCCTTGCATTTCTCTACACACCTTTATTCCTGCAAAGAATAGAGAACTTGGATTGGTTTCGCAAGGACTGTCACCTATCTTAAATTTTGCCCCAACCACACAGTGGATCTGTTAATATTAAATAAATATATTCCAAATATACTTATATATAACTTAATATTTGCATATTAATAGTCAAACATGTCAATCATTTCTTAAGTGTCTATTTTACATCTCTATTGCAAGTATTGATGAATTTTATAAATACATGTACTACAATTAGGCCCGAGTTTTTTTATTTTCTGTTTAACGGGAAGCGCCGACCCAATTTTTTCAAAATACCGAAAAAAAAATAAAAGAGGTCAATCTCACTTTTATTTTTAAAATACCCGCCGACTGTGTCATTTATTGATGGTTTGAAATAAAATCGGGTTTGTTGTACACCATATTTTAATAAATCATGTAAACGTTTGACATAGCTTGTGTTAATAAATTCTTGTACTAGCGTCTTGCTGATTATGATATCATAACCAGTTTAAAGAACTAGTTTAACGCACTTTTCGCGGGTTCTATCAACAGATCAACAAGCAAAAATGCCATTTCGAGACATTTATAGATAAAAATGACGAGATAGTAATATTAAATCCATTGACGATAAAGAGAAAAAAGATCCTGAAATCGGAATGAAGGCATCAACAACCTAAATACACTAGATGCACACTGAACCATGTGAACTGTTGAACTTGTGTCTAAAGAGTTGGGGGTAAGTTTTTTGACGTCTTAATAAACTTTCTGTTACAATTGTTCGATGGTTAACATTTTTTGATACTTTTTTTGTTTCTTTTAAAGATGTTTACATTGTATATTTAATTTGATCACATAACAAATTGAGGTAAAATTCGCGGTAAAATTTAATTTTACAATGAATTATGTTTAACTCTATCAGGGACATAAAATTACGATTAAAATATTTTAGATACAAGTCCATGTCTGCTAGGTTGAACTAAATGAGATCAGGATTCCAACAAAATTACGATTGGAAAAGAATATTTAAAACTAACACTGACAAGTGACAGCTAATTGGAGTTGCACACATTACCCTGTGGAAAGGTAGAGATAGAAAGAATTAAGTCAACTAAATGTCCAATTTAATATTTTAAATGCAAATTGAACAAAGAACAAAATTATTATATTTATAATATAAGAAATGTGTTATTATCAAAAACTCTTAAAAAATGTTTTTTATCTTCATTAAGAAAAGAAAATAATCTCATATAAATACTGTTTTTTTATCTTCTACTTTCTAACTACTACTTGTATTTGGTTATATTAATAAAGTATCTTAAAGGAACAATGCATTTTTTGTGCAGTTTGATTTCTTGGTGGAGACCCAACCATTTGTGAAGAGTTCAGAAGACTTCCAAGATGACTGCTGTTGTTCGTCAAATAATTTCAGCTGACAAATTTCCATTCTGAACCTCAAGAATGTGTTAGTCCTATACTAGGAATGCATTGTCAAGTTAGCTATCAACCCCATATTTTTCTCCAAACTTCTGTTTAATCAAAATATATGTAGCTTAAAACATTTCTTATCATTACTTTTATAAATTTTATACAGTAGGAGATGACCAAAAGAAGACATCTATAAATTTTTAAGCAGTGTGGATTTTTCTGTTATCCGTGTATCCAACATTATTGTTGCTATATAATAATTTAAACTGTAAATTTTATTGTTTTGCTTTCATACTAGAATTTACAAGTGTAATTAACCACAGTAGGATGACACATGCATATAGTTAGGAGGTGTATCTTTTTATCCATATTTGAAATCCAAATAAATGATCAACAAAATTTTATTGTGTTTCGTTCATTTTTCAACATTCTATAAAAAAAAATTCATACCATTTTTGGGTTTTATTTTTTTTTATGGTCTCGACTCGACAAATTTTGAACTTTTTATTTTTATTTTATTTCGTCCCCTCGACCCGACTTTTTCTTAAAAATTCCCGTTAAACAGAAAATAAAAAAACTCTGGCCTTAGTAACTCAAAAAGTACATGCAAGTGAGCAAAGCAAACAAGACTACGATATACATGTATAAAGGTAAGGGTGGTGATGTTGATCAGTTGAATTAAAATGCAACGGAAATCGATCCCTACCTGAAACCAAGATTACTAAAACATGTTCAATCCATCACTCACCATCGAGTTAGCCTTCTTGCCTTTAGCCAGCATCTGCGTCCCTGATAACAAAGCTGCATCGGATGCAGATATTGTTTGATTGCGGAAAACTTCTGTATTGTCAACATACCACGTGATTTCGTAATAAAGATTCTGGTCAGCCAATCTTTGAAACTGACAGACAAAATGAACATCGGGTTCATGTATCGTCTTTATTCCTACTATTACTGTTGTCCAGGAAACGCTGTGGTAAGCTACTGTTATACTTGATGGAACTTCAGTAACACCTATAAAAATAAATGAATAAGAAATTCATTCTGGTCCTTAAGTCATTCTGCGATTATTCTGAGCAAAGGTGTATTTATGAGATACTAGATGACTTTAAGGTCACTGGCAAGGCACGGTTATCTTAATTTGTCATATGGACAATAAAGTCTCAAAATGAAAAGGATGAATAATCAATAACGTATTAAGGATATATTCATAAAAATGAAGACGGGAATAGTTTTGAAAAGATTTCTTAAAATATTTTACAAAGGGAGAGTAAATTATCTAAAATAGTTAATTTTTGGGGTATCTCTTAAATGTCTCAACATTTCCTGCAAATTTCGAAGCATTTATTCCAAAATAGGGTTGAAAATCATGAAGCTTTTCCGAAGAGAGCGTACAGTGCATAATTATAGGGAAGCATTATGTTTCAATTTTGAAATTAGAGAGCAATTTGAACATCGACATTTGGTCTTCTTATCAATAAAAAATACTTACATGAAGAGCCTGGTTCTGAAAACAAAAAAGGAGATATTCTCAGTAGGTATTTTAATAGATTCATCCTGAATTTTTACGACTTAAAAGAATACACAGATGAGATTACCCTTTATGCTTGGTTAAAGAAAGTGTGAAATTGCTAGAATAAACTTAATGTAATTTTTCATTCTGGTAGGTTCAAATATGTAGCGTCAACGAGTATTTTTCTCAAATATATCATTGTATATTATTCAATTTAAAAAAAGTTGATATCGAATATTCAAAGAGAAAATGGTTAATACTCTATTTAACTAATTTAAGCTTAACCTTTCTTATTAAATTTGGAAATAGAGTAAAGTTATTCCGGACAAATAATTCTGCAGGGACAGATCGATTTCTAGGCTGGCAGCAGCGCTCACTTTATTATTGAAAGAGCTCGAGATACATAAAAAGTAAAACTGAAATAAATAAGTTAGCTCACCAAAACAATATGCAGAGCTGCACAGATCCAATGGTGTCAATTCATAAACGAAAAAATTCCCACAATTCTTTACACTAATGGTGTGTTCCTTTGAACAGGTACTACTAAAACCAACCTGGCAGACTTTGGCAGTCTTCGTTTCTCCTGAGTCTGGTGGCGAATCTATCAAAACATTATCACAATATCTGACAAGCTCCTTTAAAATACAATTAAAACAAGTGGAAAGCTGTCGATGTGACAGCAAACCAGGTTTTCTTTGTATGAACAGAACTGGTAATTCTCATATCAGAAGACAGATTTTCTATTTGCAAGAGTTATTTTCCTTTGTCGTGAAAAACCCATTTTTCTCATCCTGTCCTTTGTAACTTACGTGCAAAAAAATTGAAATATTTAAACGTTACAATTTTATTCCAAACATTTATAGGCAAAGTATGGGTTACCAAAGAAACATACTGAACATACACATAAAGATTACTTCACCGTAAAGTTGGTAATGTTATAGAGGGAAAACAGCACCTTATGTCAGTTGACCCTAAAATGTCTCTAGAAAAGAAATAACGTTTGTATATGTGAACTTTGTCTATTCTTATAAAAACTGTCTATTCCAAAAACTGTAGGAGGTGACATTCCAGCAAAATCAATATATCCTATTAGGAAATTTTGCAAAGAAACGACTTAGTTCAACAAATGGCATTTCCCCCATAAATGATCAGAAATCAACATCCTAGAAGTACATGTATGCACACCTCTGATATATGTAAAACTGATATCTGCAAAATATAATCTTCTTATATTGAAAACTGTAGCTGGGGCTATCGGGAATATTTTGCACTAATTTGCAAAAAAGACTAAGTTTAACAGCAGATATTTTTCTCATAATTTATCAAAAATGAACATCTTTGATATATGTACAATTGATCTGAAAAATTAGACAAAATATCCTATCTTGAAAACTGAAGGAGGAGTTATCCGGACAAATTAGGTACCCTGTATGGTATATTTTGCCACAAAAAAGAGACTAAATTCAACAGCTGGCTTTTTCTCCTACATAAACAAAAATCAAAATTCAATTAAAGTGGACATCTCTAAAATACATGTATGTCCAATTAAACTGCAAAATAAGAACTTCCTATCTTGAAAACTGTAAGAGGACTCATCTTGAGAAATGGGGTACCCTATATGCAATATTTTGAAAAAAAAAGTTCCACAGCTGGTATTTTTCTCAAAAAATAATTAAAAATCAAATTTTATGCAATATGCAAATTTTTAAAACATGAACAACTGATCTGCAAAACAAGAACTCCCTATCTTGAAAACTATATGACGAGTTATCCGGAAATATAGGGTAACCTATATGAAATATTCTCCCAAAAAAAGACAAATGATGTATCCTTTCGGCAGCCACCTACCCACCCGCCATTTTCATCATTTGAATAAAGAACAAGAGGCCCATGGGCCACATCGCTCACCTGAGCACATTGGCTAGGCAAAAGCACAAATGAGTTCAGTATTGAAAAGATTACCAACCGGGGGGGGGGGGGGGGGGCTTGAATTTTAAACTACCTGATGTTGCTTCCATGTCAATATAACAAATGGCTTTGTTGTACTTGAGGAGATGCTCAAAAAAATTTCCCATATATTCCTTTGTAAAAATTTGATCCCCCATTGTGGCTCCTCCCTATCCCAGGGGTCATCATTTGAACAAATTTGAATCTACATGTACACCACCTGAGGATGCTTCCAGATCAATATGACTAAACATAGCTTTTCTGTTCTTGAGAAGAAATATTTTTCTAATTCTTCTTAAGTTAAACTTTCGATCCCCCATTGGGCCCCATCCTACCCCAGGGGGTCATTATTTGAACAAAATTGAATTTACACTACCTGAGGATGCTTGCATATCAAAATGACTAAATATGATTTTCAGTTCTTGAGAAGAAGATATTTTCCTATCTAAAATTTTCTATCCCCCATTGTGGTCTGACCCTATCCCCAAGGGTCACCATTTTAACAAAATTGAATCTACACTACCTGAGGATGCTTCCATATCAAAATGACTAATCATGGCTTTGCAGTTCTTCAGTAGAAGATATTATCCTATATATTTCTATTTAAGACTTTGATCCTCCATTGTGGCCCCACCCTACCCCCAGGGGTCATGATTTGAACAAAATAAAATCTACATACTTGAGGATGCTTCCACATAAATATGATCAATCAGGGCTTTGCTGTTCCTGAGAAGAAGATTTTTAAAATTTTTCCTAAATATTTCTATGTAAAACTTTGATAGTCAATCATGGCCTCGCCCTACCCCCAGGGGTCATGATTTGAACAAACTTGAATCTACACTACCTGAGGATGCTTCCATATAAATATGACTCATCATGGCTTTGCTGTTGTTGAGAAGAAGATTTTTTTAGATTTTTCCTATATATTTCTATGTAAAACTTTGATCCTCCATTGTGGCCCTGCCCTACCCCCGGGGGTCATGATTTGAACAAATTTGAATCTACACTACCTGAGGATGCTTCCATATAAATATGACTCATCATGGCTTTGCTGTTCTTGAGAAGAAGATTTTTGAAGGTTTTTCCTATATATTTCTATGTAAAACTTTGATCCTCCATTGTGGCCCCGCCCTACCCCCGGGGGTCATGATTTGAACAAATTTGAATCTACACTACCTGAGGATGCTTCCATATAAATATGACTCATCATGGCTTTGCTGTTCTTGAGAAGAAGATTTTTGAAGGTTTTTCCTATATATTTCTATGTAAAACTTTGATCCTCCATTGTGGCCCTGCCCTAACCCTGGGGATCATCATTTGAACAAATTTGAATCTACACTACCTGAGGATGCTTCCATATAAATATGACTCATTATGGCTTTGCTGTCCTTGGGAAGAAGATTTTTAAAGGTTTTTCCTATATATTTCTATGTAAAACTTTGATCCTCCATTGTGGCCCCGCCCTACCCCCGGGGGTCATGATTTGATCAAACTTGAATCTACACTGCCTGAGGATGCTTCCACAGGATTTTCATCTTTCCTGGCCCTGTGGTTCTTGAGAAGAAGATTTTTAAAAGATGCTATTAATTTTTTACTAATTCTCTATTATCTCCCCTTGAGAAAGGGCGTGGCCCCTCATTTTAACAAACTTGAATCCCCTTCACCCAAGGATACTTTGTGGCAAGTTTGGTTGAAATTGGCCCAGTGGTTCTTGAGAAGAAGTCGAAAATGTTACAGACAGACAGACAGACAGACAGACGGACGCCGGACAAAAAGTGATCAGAAAAGCTCACTTGAGCCTTCGGCTCAGGTGAGCTAAAAACCTGATTAAAAGATAAAATAAAGGATATCTTTAAATTAAATTATACAATTTACACAAATGCTTCTTTCTTTTTAGGAAATTTTCAAGGCTCCAAATTATCATCCAGTTTGTCTATTAGAAGTTCGTGTGAAAAGAAATTCAATGCAATTTCAAATTCGTCCGTTGTGGCATAGAAAACCCAATTCCAGGAGGGTTAAATAAAGTGGTAAAAAAATACAAAATCTGCTTTTTAAACTGGGTCCCTCCCCTTAATCTCTACTGTAAAGGGTGCCACTGTACCTCTACCTTAGAGATAGGCATTGCTGTAGCGTTCAGCGCTTATCACAATCATAAAATATTTGTCTGGTAGCTGCCAAGTACTAGAGATGTCTAAAGACTTGTTATTATTAGAAAACATAGATCGATGTATATTTCATTTTTACCCAGGTTACACTACCTGAAAAACTGTAATCTCTCTCTAAAGGGTGCCGATCTGATCTTTTCAAATATCAGTTATTCTTATTAACAATTTGTAGAACGATGGAGTATTATTTTATTATATTTTTTGACAGCCGTGATATCATGCTATATGCAGTTGAAATGATGCTTACTACCTTTTTTACTACTTCTTTATGGCACCTAATCTAACCTCTGATGATTTTAGAGGTTTGGTCTTGCTCTGCTCCCAATTTGTATTGTTGCAATGGACTTTTGATGCTGATTACTATTCCTTATCTTCATATTTCATATATTTTGCTTATATATTCTAGGCGTATGATGAAGCAAAAAATACGAAGAGTTAGCCCGACAAATGCTATGTGCAACTCCACAATGCAAGAAAAAAGAGTGAGGATTTAAAAAGGAAAGATGATATAGTACTGCCAAGCTTGAACTCGGACTTTCCATCGTTAGTTGAATGTCAACATTTATTTTAAAGTCTTCAAATCACAATAACTTTATTTTTCTCACCAGTATAAAGGTTCAACTTTTTCGGCATTTGAAAGATTTTAAATCGTTCAAAAGGAAGAAAATGTCTTTCAAAAGAATATATTTGAAAAGAATAATAACAAGTAAATACCCCCGCTCTGATGTGAATATACACTCTCATGTTGACATCAAATTCATACAGAAATAAATCATTTGGCATGCCTAAGCAAAGATTGTGCTGAAATTTCAAGCCTCTGCGCTGAGTAGTTGCTAGGAAAACTGTGACGAAAATTTGGTACGGACAGATGCACGGAAAAACAGGAAGCTGACATCGGATTTGAACAAAAGTGAACCCCACCATATGGCATAACTAATCAGAGTGTGCTAAAATTTCAATCATCTGTGATGAGTAGTTGCTGAGAAAACTGCTACGAAAATTTGTTACGGACAGACACACGGACACACAGACAGACATACACACAAGGGTAAAACAGTATACCCCCTCTCCTTCGGAGCGGGGGTATAAAAAGTCATTTCAAATATTTCTACTTTTAACATACAATAAAATGAAATAAAGGATAAAATCGATATGAGAGCTTCCATTTACATCGACAACATATCATTCACGTTTTCAGAATAAGGCCGGGGAAAATGTGATGGTTCAAAAGACATAGGGAAGCCTAAGCAAAGCTCCTTCTGAACAATTATATTTGATTTGCTGAAATTTTTTTTCACAAAGACCATAGATGCTGTGAACCAAAATTACTAGCATTTTTTCAGGCATTCCAGAAAAGAAGTCAAAAAATGTGTTTCATTAAAATTTTTGAAATTTAATTTGAACTTATACAAAAGTGTTAAAAGACAGGCTAAGGTCAAGATATTAAACTTTTAATGTAATGGTTAGTTGGCCATCTTAGCGGGTCTGGGTGTCTAAAAACGTATAAAATTTCACCAGAGAGTTGTGTGACAAGTAGAAGAGTAATCTTTTTACTTAAAACATTATCTAGCACTGCAAGGAGATATTCTTTATGAAATAGATAATTTTCGTATGACGTATTTTGCCTTTGAGTTATTTCCCTTGGCCGGCATCTTGGAGGTCAGACTATTGAATTTTCCTCTTTGAGCAACCAACATGTATGACAGAAATACATTAGCAAACATCTTTAAAATACTAAAATTATGAATTAAAGGAAGCTTAGCTTTTGTTAACAAATATTCGTAAGAAAAACTGTTATCTATACCTCATGTTCCAGTAGGAAAAGTCATAATTGGTAACAAAAGAAAAAAAGGGAAAGGAAACTGGGCTTGCTGACCTCCAAATGGCGACCAACGGGAAATAACTCTTGCTAAAATCGCGTCTATCTATATTTATACAGTATCCACATTCAGGGGAGTGGATATCTAAAATAACAATTTTTGATCAATTAATAAAAAAACGTTGAAAGTGTAGATCTTTCACTAGTATATTTACCATCCATCCAGTAGGGATACGTTGTCCCACACATCCCTAATGAAGGCGCGGATGTTGGCATCTGGTGGAAGCGTGCCCTATACCACTTCCGATCAATGTATCTGTCACATACTGGGACAGAATCCTGGACGTAAGTTGGGTTTCTTTTCGCTAAATCTCCCAGTTCTGTATACACTGATGCAGAGCAAGGGTCTTGAGCAATAACTATTATAAAAGAAGAAGAAAATATACGTTAATTACAATATATGTATCTTCGGATCAATTGGTAATATAACAGCCATTTGTATTCAGAAAATACTTCGTGTGCGTCTTAATTAAAGAAAATTGGATTTTTAATAAATGAAAAACAGCATTATTTTTTTTTTTATTTTGTTGTCTTAATAGCTATTCAATACGTAAAGAAACCTAATAAATAGCACGTTTTCTAAATATCTAAGTTTAATATAAACTATTATACCTCTATGAAGAATACTCAAATTTGATTGGCTTGTTAGAAAGCTTTTAAATTCAATAATGACTCCAAAAAGTACCATTTACAGCAATAATGACCTAGGAATCATTGCACGTGGGGTATAATGACCCGGTCATTATAAAAAATGACCGCTAAAAATCACCTGTGAATCTAAATTCCTTTCAAATTTAAAAATTAAAGCATACAGTAATGACTGTTCATTACAAAAAATGCCGTTATAAAACTATGTATAGTCTTTTTATGATACGGAATACGATTGTCCTTTAGATGCGTCATAAAATTTATCGTTTTCATTGAAACTTTCATTACAATGTCAAATTCAACGAATGCAGACTTGGCTCTTTTGTACAGTAAAAATCTGCATCAGATTGTCATTGTACTCGGAAATGGTATTTGTGAATTTATAGAAATACATGTTACTGACAATCACAGTGTGTTTTAATAAATCGGCGGTGCAAAAACTTACAAGACCAGGCGAAAAGTAAACAACTTCACTACCGAATCCCGATCCCGATGAAACACTGATAATAACAGTTCGTAGGTCTAATACACAATTGATTATTTTAGTAATTAAGCCTACAAAAATTGTCTTAACTTATATTGGTATAATAAAACAATTTATTACCCCTTATGAGTTCAACATGGTGAAATAAGGACCCTCGACCTGGCCCACTCGCTGACCTGACCTGACCTCGGCCGCTACGCGGCCTCGATCAGGTCAGGTCACCTCGTCGGCCAGGTCTCGGGTCCTTATTTCAGCATGTTAACCTCATAATATAATTAATTAATTGTATATTAACATGATTATGCAGTTCTCAGTCGTTATCACATTGAGAATTGAACGCCAGTTACTAGCGCTGATGATGTATTTTAGAAATGACATTTTATTTACTTTTATTCAGGATCGACAAAGCGGCTGTAAAAGACCTAATCTGTTTTTTTTATTTGATTAATAGAAAATATATTTAATGTTCCATTAAGAAATAATTTAACGTTTGATATCTTTAACTATATTAGGTTCTACATTCATTTTTTCTTCATTTATACACATACAGAATTTCATAAACGTACCTTTTGTAAGGATTCCATTTACCAGCACTAGAGTAAATTGAAGAATTCTCAGATTCATTGCTATAAAAAAGTGAAAGATGTTGATATTTAATTATAAAAGTATTTCAAGAACTCTTTTGCATAAATGTAATAGAATGTGTATTTTTTTTTTAGAGTAGGGAGCATTATATCTGTATTCAGTAAATACATATGAAAAGAAAATACGCATACTTATTTCTGTCTTTTTGATCAAATAAATGTCCGAAAACAATAATAGGGGTATGGACGATATTTCTGATCGTTAAGAATTAACCTTTTTCTGTTATAGAAGAAAAAAGTTTTATATACATAAGTGAATAAAAATATATTTACACATAATGCACTTACATTAAACCCTTCCAATTAAATGTTGCAAAAAAAAGATGTTGATTTATTTACATATTGAGTAGTTTAAATCGGTATAATAATAACAGTTTTCATCGGTGAACCCACATGCGCAATTAATACACCAAGATTTCAAAAACTGTTGTCATTTAACATTTAGACAAAGGTTTTGTGATAGACCAATATAGGTATAATGTTTATAATGGCACTATAGATATTGTGAGCAAATACTATCTGTCTGAAGTCATTGCTGAAATGCATGTTGTAAGAAGTACAGGTACACCGACTCATCAGTGCACAAAAACGAAAGTAGCAGCTTCTACAGGTGGTAAAGGAAATAAACGATGTTCACCTTCATATTGCACACATTTCAAATGAGCGAGATGGCAGTTATGCAAGACGGCAGGTGTGCCCTTCGACAAAAGTCGACTTTCTTTGACTGGGGCGGGGAGGGGAATGAGATCTGGTCAACTACAACTATATTTTCATTTAAACATTATAAAACTACCAAAATTGAAGTATTTCAACAATTTTTGAAATAAGAAATGATATTGACAAACAAGTTGATGAAACAAGAATATCAGCAATCTCGTTTAAAGTCATCATTTCGCAAGTTCCATGGTCGATACAATGACCTTGTCAGCAAATATAATCTATCCTTAAGTCAAATGCTGACTGACGCATTTCATACTAATTATTAGGCCATTTTTTACAAAATGAATTGTCTACGGATATTTTCATTTTTCCCATTCATTACAAGGAGCACACGGCAGGTTTGACCGATCGGCAGGGGATGCTCACTCCTCGATGGCACCTGATTCCATGCACCTCTGATGCTTTGGAGGTCCGTGTTTGCTCTCTCCCTGATTCTGTCTTGTTTGAATGGACTTTTGAGCTCGAATACTGTTCGTTATCTCCATATTTCACGTGCTCAAGTTACAAATGTCTTCTTGTCTTACTTAACCTCATGTGCATGTTCAGGCCAACGTCAAAAACGGAAAAATACCTGCCTATGTATACTATAAAAAATGCTTCATAGTTGATACAAGTCTTTTTTTTCTGCTGTTTTTGTTGGTTGCTTTTTTTTAAGAATATTTAAACCATGTTAATTCAAATTATTCGAATATTTGATTTCAAGTATGAAAAAGTGGGTTGGGGGAGGGACAGCTCTATTGTTCTTAAGATTTAAGAACTACATGTAAAATATTTTTGTTCCAGATAGGCACAAGTTCCAAGTAGCAAAATTAATGCAAATAATAAAAATATGTACTTCTATTTTCAAATTTTACGTAAAATATGTAAGTTTCCTATGACTGAACTAAAAATAAGAATTTCAGAGATAAAAAAAGGGAGATATGTGTTTAAATACGATTGAAATTTTGATAGATCGACAAAACGTTTTCATTTATATATTAATCACTAATCAACCGATGATAAATGATACAATATGTAGGTCATGGAATTTTCTTAAAATAAAAATTGTGTTCAGTTTGGTAACTTTTTTGTCATTGAAATTTAAAAAAAAATCTGAAAACATTGCATTTCAAAAGATTAACTTTTCCTTCGATCATTATTTCACCCTTATTGTCCTAAAAACAATAGCAATAAATCTAAGAAATGCTCAACATTAACAGCTTTCTCCACAGTACAAATCAGAACAAACAGTAAAAGGAATAGTAATTATCAGCATTTATTCGCAACAACAAAAAGACCAGCTACTACAGTAAAAAAAAATATTTCAGTAAATACGAGTATTTATCAGCAACAAAAGAAATTTATCATTTATTATCTGCCTTAATCAGTAAATTTTAGGATTATCAGCACTTTTTTCGTCCAGTAGTATGTAAATAAGATACAGTTCCATTAGCTACCCTGACATGCAAGAGACGGGCGTTTTACAGACGGACAAACCCCTCTATCACTATATATACCCCCAAATTTTCAAGCGGAGGTATAATAAATTTTGATAATTGAAATTGATGATCATAAGCTAAAACAAATGTCCAGGTCTCGACTTAAGAACACATACACGGACATTTCTGGACTTCTTGAATGACTAAAGAACAATAAAGCCATGCGTCAATTACATGTTCAATTGGAACAATAGGATTATGAAGAAAGCACACTACATAGAAATATATCTACATATAAAAGTACATTCAGAAAATTTCAAACAATATTTTCATAACATTTAAGGATGGATGATACAAACTTTTTTTCAAAAACCATGAAAATAACAACTGTAGTCATGTTTATATAAGTAAAATGAATAAGTTTAATTTTTCATTCAAAATTTCACAATAATAGCCTTTAACATCATAAAAAGTTTACAATTTCCTGATATTTTTGAAATTTGTTATTTCCATCATTAACAAGCAAAATTGGTCCAAAAACATATACACCAAACCAGGCATCCTTTTTTGTATGCAACATCTGTCCTTAGTTGCCAAAATATTTAAACCAATGGCATGAATTATACTTTTGTGCTTCCTGGTCTTTTCAAAAAGCTGACAGTTCACAATAGCTTAGATCTGTATGACTAGGCAAAAAGTCTTTTTGAAATAAAACTCAAAAGAACGATAGAAATATGTGATATTTAATGATAACGAAGTGAATTTCAGAAATGTACCAGGGGAAGTTATATAGTTGAAGATGGAATTTGTGTAACGTATTAATGCTCATTTATCTTAAATTGATGTATATCTAAGTATTTTTTCTCTCTCCAATGTAAATGATTAATGACGCTTTAGATGTTTTGTTGTATTTGACAAATCAGATTTCCTTTTTAATTTTTTTTTACTAAACACTGTATAAACTTACTAGCAAGTATGAAGGTTATACACATAATTACTAAAATTGAATAAATAAGTTGTTGGTTCTTTCATGAAATAAATAATAGTTTTTAGTTAAATAAAACTAATGATTTTTTAAAGAATTTGAACTGTTTTAATTTGTTAGGATTTTTAAAGAGCTCATCAGTCAATTTAGCAGTTCAGAAGTTCATCACTGTAAAATTGAAATACAGTCGAAATGTTTAACGTCAACGAATGTATCCATTAATTTTGCTCTCCATTATGTTGTAACGTTTCTTATCAGATGACCAACGTGAATGTATATGTGTGTGTTTGTGTGTGTGTGTTGGGGGAGGAGTTGGTACTTCTTAAATAGATTTTTTTACCACCGCCTTTTTGTTGGAGTGAATATTTAATTATTAACTTTCCTCACAGTGCTTGCTATTATATATTACATTTTACTTAGAAAGCCACGTCTTTCTGATTTGATATGCACTTTTTTTATAGAGAAGTTTCATCTGCCAGTAGGAGATAGAAATGAATCAACTGTAAAACAGAAAAGAATACAAAAGTTCAGATTGTATTTAATATGGTTTAAAATTTTTAAGGAAAAAATTCCGACGTCCCCCTTACAATCTATACTTATAAATTAATAAATTTTGCAAATAAACTCCGAAACGGATGCACCAGAGTTTTTACTTACTCCTCTAAGAATACACTAGATCTAATATGATGTCCGTAAACTATATTTAGATTTCACTCGCATTGTAAGTATCGTACGTTGAATTAAAAGTCTACTTTTATTTTCTATAAACAGCCATGAAATAGCAAAAACGTGAGTACGGTGGCGTTTCCGGTTGGCGGATCTAAGTTTCTGGCATTTTTTATGAAACTGACAACAATCAATCGTTTATTTATTTCATAAAACGTCATCACTGAATTATTCAATCAAAACTTGATTTAAATGACATAAAAGAAATAAGTTGTGATAAACGATTAAAAGGGAAATGTGCAAATTATTTTTGTCATTCACCGATCTTGATATTGACGGAAGCTTCTAGAACATCATATAGCATCGAGCCCGATGTTAAAAAGGAAAACGAGACAATTATAGCTGTTGGGACACAAGAAAACCTAATGTGTGAATGGTCATTGAAATAATGGTAAATCATTGATAACACTATAAGTTGTGAATATATTTATATATCGAAAACTATTACATATATGTAGTAGGTTTTCCTAATAACTTTATCGTTAAAATGTGTATATATTCCTCACTGCTTACATGAAAAGAGAAAATTAATGAATAAGACATTGTTCAAATACAACTAAAGGTGTAAAATTTTGTGCTTTAATCAATACATTTCAGGGTTTTTTTGTTTTTGTTTTTGTTTGTTTTTTGTTTTTTTTTTGTAATACAGTCTTTTGTATCATATACTCGGCCTATTCATAGGGCGTTAAAAGCTAATTTTTACACAGATACTTGCGTCTTGGTTTATATATATGTATGAACCTTGTTGATACGTAAAAATAAAAGGTAAAGTACATTTTTTACATATCAATAAGGTACATACATATTTATAAACCAAGACACGAGTACCTGTGAATTTTTAAACCCCCCCCCCCCCCCCAAATCAATTTATCAGTAAAATGTGCATATTCGCCGCTTTTAATTTATCCTTAACGGAAATGAAATAAGAGCATACAATATATCCATAACATAGTATAACAGGTTTCACAATAAAGATCAATTAATGAAATTGTTATTTTTTCAAGTTTTTACAAAAGGGGTGGGGGTGGGGGTGGGGGGTGGAAACGCACATGCGGGATTTTGAACAAAGTATTTCTTCCTGCTATAACCCTGTAGGCTGTCAGTAGAAACTACAATATATTTTCTGTCGGT